AAGACCGTAAAAGGAAGCTGAGAGAGTACACTTTGAATACAATTTAGCATAATTTAACATAAAAATAAAACAAATAATATAAAAAAACACACACACACACATGTTCTAAATTAAATACAATTTAGCAATTGTAACGACTCTAAACATAACAAATTAAACTCAAACCAAATCTTACTTCCCTAACAAAGAAGTTAACCTTAAGAAAATGATTTAGGTTTTCTTCATTTTTCTCTCCTTTCAAATTAGCACAAATCTCAAGAGCAAGACAAATAAACAAGTTAGGCTACAAAAACATTAATTAGAAATGCAGTGGGTAATTGAAGGGAAAAAAAAGAGACAAAGGCATAGTGAGAAGAGGACGAAAGTGAGGTGACTAGAAAAGAGGAGAGATAGCCAGGTGAAAGAGAGATAAAGAAAAATAAAAAACCATATCAGAGAAAAAAAACTCTCATAAAGGATAAAGAAAAACCCACAAGATGAGTAAGGAATCCCCATAATAAGGGGGAGAGCCCGACAAGGATAATGGTTTTGTAGCAACTAGAATTGCTGGAGGTATTTGCGTAACGATGAAGCTCAAACTTGGTTAGAGAGCTTTTGAGTTCTATTAGTAAATTTCTTTTTTAAAACACACAACATTGAGTTAATAGAGATGCAAATAGACACTCATGAAACAACTTAGGTCAAGAGATTATGTTGATTGAACAATGTGCTAACAACTTTTTGGTTTCACTAGTTGTAGTCTTGGTTGAATAATTCATGATTATGTTTTATTTTCTCCATATTAAATAGATTATTATTTAATATTTTTATTATAAAGATTTAGGAAAGTAATATGACTTAATTAATAAACTATTTTTTCTAAATTATCTTTATTATTTATTTATTATCTAAAATTAGACTAGCACAATACTAAAACAAACTAATACATTCAATATTTATTTGGAGCAAAATATTGAAATACGAAAATTAATGTTTCACTGAAATCTTAAAACCTTGAAACCTTTTCTTAAAACGTTACTTTATTTCATATAGAGGGAGTAAATTGAAATTTGTAGATGTAGTTACAATTATGCCATGATCTTTGATATTGTAGACAAATGTGGTTGCAATTGCAATTACAATGTGGTATGGAGATTGGAGACCCGAAAATCCTTGATGTCTCAGCCATAAATGTGATTGTGTTATATAATTTTAATACAACTTAGATGATGTTGATTGACGATGAGGTTGGGTAAGTGTATACACTAAGAATCTTTATGTTTCGAGCATTTAGTTTATACTATAATTATTTATTTTAATAAATTAAGGTATTTTAATTTTCCTTAAAAAATATATCAACATTCTTAAAATAATAAATACAATATTAGTATTTAAAATATTAATATATTGTTAATTTTTTTTACTATTTATAATATTAAATATAAATAATTCATATTTAATATCATAAATTAAATATTAACATAATTAATAGGATTGCACACAAAAAACACATCGCTAGAGACAGTCAAATTCTAGTTAAACTAAAATTATCACCTAAATAATGAACCTATAAATTGAATCATGTTTATAAGAGTTTTTTTTTTAAAGTATTAAATACATAATTCTAATTATGTGGTCATATTTTCTTTCTTGCCACTATTAGTATAGTGATAATGGAAGACTTCCAATAAATACTTGGTTGAGTACTTAAAAAGATTTAAACTATTAAATTTGTTATAATAAAATAATCCTAAAATTAATATATTGTAAGTGTATGTACTTTTTGAAATATGAATATTGCATAGACATTTATGAATCATTATATTCTATTACATTTATCAAATGTACAGTTAAAGAGTGAGTTTTTGTTCTTATTTTAGATGATTAAACGATGATGTTGAAATGAAATAGGAGATTAAAATGAAAATCTTTAAATAAAAAATAATTAAAAAGAAGAATGATTTTACGTAAAAACATATTCTAGGGCGAGTTTTATTTTTATTTTATGATTAAATTTATATATGTTCAATTTTTTTTTTAAATTTTGATTTGATTTAATTTTTTATTTGAATGCCTTTTCTTTTATTGAATTGAACTAAGATGTATAATCGTGCAATGAGTTAGTTTAGATATGCCTTTTTATTATTTAAAAGTGTTGTTTGAATAAATTCTTATATCAAGTTATGACTACAGGGATGTGCTTACTTTGAAGCTAATTTATTTAGAGTATTCATTTCTTAAAAACAATTTAGAAGTTGAAATTAAAAAATTATCTAAATAAAATAACCCTACGTAAAATTTAAAATTCCAATGTATACTCATTTTAACAGCAAACATATTTGAGTGTAACCCTAACATACAAGAGATGGCTCTTTACTAGGAATAAAGAATCATTTTAGTAGATTTATTTTTGGTAGATTTATTGGCTCTTCCAATTTTGATAGATATTTTTAATTAGATTCTCAAACCTATATCTTTTCTCCTAAAAATAATTTTGGTAGATTTATTGGTTTATCCAATTGTATAAGGCATTGTGTTCAAAGCAATTTGGCCCTTCAAAATCCATTAACTATAGCGTTAAATAAAAAGAAAAATTCAAACAAACAGATATGGTGCAGAGCTATATATAGAGAGTGATCAGTAACTGTTGAAAATGCACAATTTAGATATGAACTCAGATTTTCTCATTTCATTGCAGTCAATAGAAATGAACATTGATCAGTACCTGGTTATAAACTTCCTAATGTACATGAAAATGTGAGAAGCTAAAACTCGTGATCTAGCTTTTTACTGCTACTGCTTTTCTTTCTTTAATTGATGACTTTGCAAATCTTACAGGTGTTATTACTGCGCAACTAAATGAGCATGACAAGTACTCTTGTTCCATATCAGTGAGGAACATCGTCAAGATATTCTTTACAAGGTTTGAACTATCCTCTTTCTATGAGTTAATTATTAGGATTGAGTCAAAAGTTGAGATTCATTCGAAGCCAGTACCAACCTCTCTTGAAAGCACCCACGAACTTCCATCCAATCCTCACGAGAAATCTTGTACTTTCAATTCTTCTCATTTTTTGTGGCTCTTTCGGGTGACCTTTTGGCCTTGAATCAAGTAAGGGATTTCTCAACATTGAATCCAACTAACAAATTAAGTAGTGCAGCAAATTAGGTGGAAAATCAAGTGACAAGAGGCAATGATCTTTGATTTTTTATTCTCTTATATAATTATTGATTCCTCTAATACCTTGTGGTTGTCGTTTATTTAGGATTTTAAGGTTGTTTTGAACTACATTACATTAAAAGGGACGAACTTGTTCATTGGTTAGAAGTTTGTTTTAACCGTGGGAATTGGAAAGTTAATTATGGAAGTCTTCATTTGTTTGTTGCAGCATTATGCACTGTATATAGTATGTTATGTTCTCCGTTTTGTGATTTTAGTTTATTAAGTAGTTTCTCTCTCTATTTTTGGTCAAGGTGAGTAAAGACCGTGTTCATTTGGCTTGCTACATGAGATGGCAGTTTCTCTATTCAATAGTTAGACGAAAAGAACAAGTGTTGGTAGATCTCAAAGTCTTCGCATAAAGGCTACATGCTTCGTTGTTTAATTCTTCTCGCGAATGGTGAATTTGTTTTTTATTATACAAAATTTTTATCCTCTTTGAATATTTAGAAGACCTTATTCTAATCATGGGGATCATGTTTGTAAAAAATAAAGTTGAATTTTCGGTGAATTCAAAAAGGTTTTGGTATGCACTAATGAGATTCTATGGCTAACAGCCAAAAATTAATCAATCACTTTCAAAATAAAAAAATATTAAAATGGGTATAATCTCTCTGATAGAGACTATTTTATATATTCAATCAAGAATTGAACTTCAGTTACCATGTTGAAGAAATTTAGATATATATATATATATATATATATATATATATATATATTTATCTTATTGATTGAAAAGTTCAGTGGTGACATTATTTTTCTTTGAAAATACATGCATATATATAATAAACAATTAATTTTTTTCATCTTTGTATAAAAAATATGCAGTATTCATTTTTTAGAGGGAAATAAGTTACATATATATACTAATTAAATTAGTATATGTTCTCTTTTATTAATTAGTTATTTAAATGTAAATTTTTATTTTTAATGAATGTTCAAAAACTTTAATCATCTTAGTATAATGACCCCAAGTGGTTAATCAAATAAAGTGAGGAAAAGTCTAATAGTAATAGGTTACTCACAAATTCAAGCAGCTATTTATTATTTATCTCTTTAAGGCGAAGTTAATGTAAATGTAAGTCTTTCCTAATACTCTTAAAACTTGAAAGACTTTTCCTCTCTTTGACCAAGACACCATCTCCTCTTCTAAAATTTTACTCATAAAAAAAGCTCTTAAATTTAATAAGATATTTTATAAATAATCAAAAAATTATTAATTAATTTTAAATTAAAAATTTAAGATAATTGTATGTTTATTTTAAACTTATTTTATATGATTAATAAAATAATTTTTACTAATCAAAATCACTATCTCTTAAATAATTTTATATTTTTTTAATAATTGAAAATATCCTTATGTATGATGCACCATTCCCATTAGATAAAATATAATAATTTAATCAATTCTTTAAAACACCAATTAAAAAATAACATATAAAACGATCAATAAATTAATATCATAATTTTAATAATAAATATTATTTATTAATTTACTCGTAACCAGGAAAATAATAATTTGAATCAATGACATGACTTGAAACTTTCTTTGTGTAATATAGATGAAGTATTTTGGTCTTAAAGAATGTGCTAACAATAAACATAAAAAAATAACGGTTACTCACTGAGTTTGCAACTACCGTTGGTTCCCCAACTACCATTCCCAGCAAGAAGAAAGACCCTTAGTTGAACGAAGATCGCTCTTCACTTCATTTCAATGAACCTTCTTCTTCACTCCACACTCACTCTCTTCTCTCTCTCTCTCTCTCTCTCTCTCTCTCTCTCTCTCGCTCTCTCTACAATGGCGGAGCCTAATTTCACCACCGTCACTCCTCCTCCTCTCCCGTCGGTGGAAAGCGCGCCGCCGCCGCCGAGTAGCTCCCAAACTCGGTTGGTATCACGTGAGCCCCAGCACGTGAGGATTACTAGGGACGATACCTGCTCCTGCTTCGCCGTTGTCTTCAGCTTCTGGTTTTTCGGTAATAAGGCAATTCTTCCATGTCTTCTCGATTCGGTACTCTGTTCGTAGCTAACTTCTTTAGTTTAATCTTATTTTAACGATTACTTTTAATCTTGTAAATTGATAAATTTATTGTTTTTAAATGTTTAAAATCAATTTTAAAATTTCATGTTTACCACGATGTAAAAAATTATTAAATCGTAAATTTTAATAAGAATTATAACATTTAATACTAATATTATTATTATATTAAATTATGTGATATATTATGATTTTTAATAAAAAAAATTTGAGTGTTGTTAAGGGCATTGATTAATAAATTAATGGATAATTTTTTTTATTAAAAATCATGTAAAATATATTAAGGAGAACTATCTTATTTGGTGCAAAGAATGTATGTACAAATTTTGAAAAAATGACATGGTTTGTTATTATTGGTTTATTATTAAATTGAAAAATAGTAATAAACTGTGTTTATTTGAAAAAAATCATAGATAACATTTGTTGGTCAATTTTCGTATATTTTCATTTCATACCATTTATCATTTCTCCATTAAAAAAAATATAAAAATAAGTTAATTTTTTTTTATCAAAATACTTAAATTTTAAATTTCTTAACTAGTGCTATGGCAATAGTTAGCATTTTTCAAAAACTTGTGATACATGTTAGAATTTTTAGATTATTATTCAGATCGTTTTTTGAATGTGTTGAGGGGTATGCTGCATTATCTTATTTGTTTAGAATATTTAGGATTATGATTTCTGAATTGCATTGTTACAGTGTCGGTGACTCTTATATTGGGGGTTTATGGGTCCCTGATCGTCGAGCTTGGTCCAGAAACTTCTATTGTTTTCCAACCTAGTCCCCTGTTTGTCCAATTTGTGAAGGTTAGTTATCATTGCTACTTGCAAGCGGCATTAACAAATACTCAAGCTTAACTTTCACATAATAATAATGATTAAGCTGGCCTCATATATAATTAAGCTAAAATTTGAGCTTGAACGCATTCATTTATTAAAAATGTTTGATGAATTGAACTAATATAATTCACAATTATTACTACTTTCCTTATCTGATTTGGATTTGTAGTTGGTAAGTGTCTTTGTAATGTGTATTCTTTTGCATTAGGTAGAAAATTTAGAGGCAAAGTCAAGCCCAGGACCTATTCTTTATGGTACATATGGATATCCACCCCTTGATGTTGTTACCACTTGGGGAGTGACTCGTAATGTATCTCTTCCCTCTGGCTCGCATAAGGCAAGTATATGTACTTAATTACTCCTTTCCCTTATAAGTTATAACCCTCGCATGATTCCCAATTTGGATATTGCAAAAAAGTAAATAAATAAATGAAACAAACACATTGAATCCCATTTGTTATGCTAACACCCTTTTGTTATGCCTTCCCTAGGAATGGAAATATTATCTGAACAAAGGGTCTGAAGTAAATATTTCGTATCACGTGAGCTCTACGAGCTCTTTTGTTTTCCTTATAATTGCAGATGGTATGCTTTCTACCTGAGATTTTGGTGATTTCTCGTTTCAATTCTTGTGAATTTCTTTCTCATGGAACTATCTCTTAGAAATATAAAGTCATTTGGGCTTCATTGCCTAATAATATAGCTTTTGGGATATTTCGTTTTGGTTGGTGTCAAGTTATCAGAGTCTAGATGCGTGTTTGGTTTTCGTAGTTTAATTTTGACGCACATTTAAACATGTATGTTTAAGGTATTAAATGTTTATCTAGACACGGTATATGTAATTAAGCGTGTTTATATATAATGCGGAGTCAATTTTGTTGAAAGTGAATGTTTATCAGTATCGCTGGATGTGCCTAAATTTTGTGTCTCAAATATCTTAGCCATTCATTTTCTCTCGTACATGTGTTAACATTTCCTACTGGCTCTATAGATATAGCCTATGACATTTTCTATTGGAGTAGCATTTGATTTAAGAATATGAAATTTGTACGATGTACGGTATGTGTTACTTGTTGGGCAAGCCCATAAATATATTTAAGTGCTTTTTATTATTTGTTGTATAAATTAAAAATTATAAAATCAGAAATTAACCTATTAATCCTATATATTTAGGATATTTTATAATAAGTTTACAAATTAAGAAATAAAAAAAATCTGTCATTATTTATAATAAATAAAAAATCTTTTCATAAACAAAATATTGTACTATTTATTGTGAGAAAATGCAATAAAAAATACGAGTCATTCAATTAATTTTTTGAGACATGATATCAAGAACCTTTGAGAGGCAACAGAGTTCTTTCATTTTGGAGTTCCTGTCTTTTTTTTTTTTTTTTTTACCACTTGTGAATTCTTAGTTCCTTGGTTTCAGTACTTTGAGTTTTTTGGTAGCATATCTTGGAGTTTCTTTTTTTTTTTTTCTATGGCCACTAAGAATTTCTGTGTTCATTTTACTAAGAAAAACTATGCTACTTGAAAGTTTCAGTTTAAGATGTTAATAAAAAGAAAAGGAATGTGGGGTTATGTTGATAGATCTTCTCCTACACTCACATCAACAACTAAGTTAGTAGTATAGAACAAAGGATGCTCAAATTATCCTAATATGACTAATAATCTATGTTCATTTTTTACTACTAAGGAGATGTGAGATTATTTGAAGCGCATCTATAGTCAAGACACAACTGCCAAGCGCTTTCAATTGGAGCTAGACATTGCTAATTATAGTCAGGGCAATTCATCCATTTAGGATTATTATTTTGGTTTTCTAAACCTATGAGTTGAACACTCAGTCATTCTTCACGTTGATGTCCCAAAGGACTAGCTGACTACCATTCAAAAAGTCTATGAGATTAGTAAACGAGATCAATTCCTCATGAAACTTCGATCAAATTTTGAAGTTACTCGAGTTGCTCTGTTAAACAAGAACCTTGTTCCCTCTCTAGATGTGTGTGTTGGCAAGTTACTTCAAGAGGAATAACGTCTTATCACTCAAAGAGTCATGTCTCGCAATAGCCTTTCTTTTGATGCTATAACTATTGCCTATTCTGCTCAAGGAAAAGGAAAAAGCAGAGATATGTGGTAGGTTCAATGTTATTCTTGTAAGTAGTTTGGGCATATTGCTAAAAATTGCAATAAAAAATTCTATAACTATTGTAAGCCGCATAGTCATATCATTATAGAATGCCTAAAATGTCCAGGGCGACGCTCAATGTAAGCCATGTTGCAGTTGGATCTACATATCAAACCTCAACACTAACACTCTCTGTGGTTTCCATACTCTTTCTTTATCTCCAAAAATTATGTAGTAGATGGTGCTTTCATCCCTTTCCACTTTAGGCCTCTAGGGTAAGTCTAATCCCATCTCCTAAACTTGGTTTGTTGATTTTGTGGCCTCCAATCACATGATTGGTTCCCTTGAATATTTTCATAATTTTAACTCTTACAAAGGCACACACAACATTTAGATTGCCAATGGTAATACCCTTTCAATTGCTATTATTGGTGACGTCAATCCCTCTTTTCAGAATGTGTTTGTGTCCCTTGGAATTGTTTCAAATCTGATTTTGGTTGGTCAATTAGTGATAATAGTTGTGATGTGAATTTTTCTTGTGATGGTTGCCTTGTGAAGGATCAGGTCAGGGAAGGTGATTGAGAAGGGGCCTAAAGTGGGCAGATTATTTTCACTTCAATTATTCTTCCTAGTCTTATTTCTTTAGCATGTAATGGTGTCTCAAATAAATGTGAGCTCTGGCATAAAAAGTTGGGTCATTCAAATTCATTTGTTTTGTCTCATTTACTTAAAAATGATTTGTTGGGTAATAAAATTGTTGTTTTTGTTTCTTCCCTTGATTGTTCAGTATGTAAGCTTGTTAAAAACAAAATTCCTCCTTTTCCATCTAATGGTCATCACGTTGAAAATTGTTTTGATATTGTTCACAGTGATGTTTGGGGTATATCTCTTGTGATATCTCATGACAAGTACAAATATTTTGTGACATATATTAATGACTATAGCTGCTTCGCTTGGATATATTTTTTCTACTCTAAAGCTGATGTTTTCTCATCATTTACGAAATTTTTGGCATATGTTGAAAATCAGTTTAACACGGGCATTGAAACTTTGTGTACTGATTTGAGTGAAGAATATATTTCTAAGGAATTTCAAGAGTACATGCACTACAAAGGAATTCTTTCTCAGCGTTCTAGTCCATATACACCCCAACAAAATGGTGTTGCTAAATGAAAAAAAAAAATCAACACTTGCTTGATGTCACAAGAACATTACTTCTTGACAGTTTTGTTCCTCCTCATTTCAAGGTTGAAGTTTTGACCATTGCTGTCAATTTGATCAATAATCTTCCTTCTCATGTTCTAGACTTTGATTCTCCTTTCTTTCGTCTCTATAGTATATATCCTAGTTATGATAATCTTTACACTTTTGGTTATGTCTATTTTGTTCACTTACCCCCTATTGAGCGTCATAAACTTGAGACTCAATCTATTCAGTGCATTTATGGGTTATAGTATCACTCAAAAGGGGTTCTTATGTTATGATGTTACTACAAATTGCTTATGTATATCTAGGAATGTGATTTTTTTTTATGATTAATATTTTTTTTCCATTTCAAACACTTACCTCTAATATTTTTGCTACTCTTCTTAATTTTCCTGAAGTCTTTCATTCTATAAAACATTTTAAATTAGGACATGTCTATGCCAGATGTTAACCCCCTTTGCCCTTTTCCAATGTTGACCCGTCGCCTGAGCCTGAACCAGAAGGACAACGTAGGTCAATTGGCATTTCTTGTCCCTCGGGTAGGTATGGGTTTACACATACTTCTCTTACTACCACCTTATCTATCATATCTATACCTACTTGTTATTCATAGGCAATAAAGGATGTGTGTTGGGTAAAAGTCATGGAAGATGAGTTACAGGCACTTCAAAAAAATTATACTTGGGATATTGTTTCTTGTCCATATGATGTTAAATGCATTGGTTGCAAGTAGGTATATTCCATGAAGCATAATTCTGATGGTTCTCTTAATCGTTACAAGGCTCAGTTGGTTGCTTTAGATAACAAGCAAGAATATGGTGTGGATTATGATGAAACATTTGCACCTATGGTTAAAATTACCATCGTCAGAACTATTCTTGTCATAACTACCTCCAAATGGTTAGTCACTCCATCAAATGGATGTGAAGAATGCATTTATTTATGATGACTTGTCAAAAGATATTTATATGACCCCTTCCATAGGCTTATTTTCTTCTTCTACAAGTGTGTGCAAGCTTAAACGTTCACTATATGGCTTGTTTCAGGCTCCTCAGGCTTGGTATGAGAAGTTTTGCTCTACTTACCTTGGTTTCTCATTTCTTCAAAGCCAGTATGACTAATCCTTATTCATTCATAAAATCACAATTGGTATTATTTTTCTTCTTATTTATCTTGATGATATGATCATTACTGACTTTGATCATGAGTCCACACAGCAACTCAAGCAACAACTCCAAGCTTTTTTTTTTCAGATGAAGGATCTTGGCTACCTTCATTATTTTTTAGGCTTAGAGGTCCATTCTAATTCCACAGGTATTTTTCTTCATCAACACAAATATACTAAAGATTTAATTTCTATGGCTAGTCTTCAAACTAATGCTCTGGTGGACACTCCTTTGGAAGTCAATGTCAAATATCACCATGATGAGGGTGATCTCCTACCTAATTCTTTACTATATCACTAATTAGTAGGCAACCTTAATTATTTGATTATTACTCATCTTGACATCTCTTTGCATTATAACATGTTAGCCAATTTATTCACTCACCTTGTCATTTTTATTTGGTTGTTGTCTGATGTATCATTCATTACTTGAAGAGAAGTTCTTATCGGAGTTATTTTTCCCTACGGGTTCATCCCTCGAATTGCTTGGTTATAATGATTTGGATTGGGCAGGTTGCTCAAACACTCGACGATCCGTCACTGGTTGGTATATGTTCCTTGACCCCACACTCATTTCTTAATGAAAAGCAAAAAGCAAGCTCGAGTATTTAAGTCCTCCACCGAGTCTAAATATCGAGCCATGTCTACAACATGTTTTGAAATTATTTGGCTCCATAACCTTTTAGCTTATCTTGAATTTTCTCAACCCAATGCTACTCCTCTCTCTGTAACAACTTAAATTTAATTTCAATAAATAAGGAATTTCACAAATTTTTGAAATAATAAAACTTCTATTTTTAATCCAAGTTTCATCAAACATTTCAAATAAAGAAAAAGGGCTTACAAATTACATTAAATAGTTGCTACAGGAGTTAGTCCTTTAGCAGTTCTATCCACCTCTTCACTGAGTCCGGTGCTGATCGTCTTAATTACCTAAAAATGAATGTAAGGGTGAGTACTCTATACTACCCAAAGACACACAATCAACATAGAGTCTCACCTCCAGCACATTTCCAATACATTAAACAATTACAATTACAGGCAACATTTCACATCCATAAGTATAATTCATAAATTCATGCATACGCACGCCAGCCACACTCACTGTAACATTGTGATTACAGATTTACACCATGAATAGTCACCGGTTACCCCCGCCTCATGGATACCACATGGGCAGTCACGGGTCGCTCAACAAAGATAGTGGCCAGAAGTTTAGTAAGGAAGAGAGTGTGTGGCTCGTAGTGCACCCTTTCCACAGTCGCTGTCACCACCACTCCTTCTTCCCCAAGGTATTTCTACCGTCCTCATCTTCCACACTCCAGTGTATCGCTGAACCATTCACAACACATTACAACGGCGCTAACACTTCTATTCACACATATTCCATTCACACATGCAGTGATCATGCTTACACACAGCACACAACCCATATTGTATTCAAATACACGGCACTAGGCCCACATTCATTTCACATTACACGGCACATAACCAATATTCATTTATATTACACGGCCCTCGGGCCCACATTTGTTCACAATATTCATTCTATCGTGCAACATCTAACATACAATTCACATTCATCCATTTCGGGTAAACACACACAATATTCACATCTCACAGCACATGACCCTCATCATATTTCTCAATCAACTTTCATTCACTATACGTTTCTACCTTCGAACTCATCCACAACTCCATATTCAATCAATTACACATAAAAAGAGTAGGGTAAAGTCCCCCTTACTTCAGATCGAAGACCCACACGTTAAATCCACCAATAAGTGTTTCCCCTCACGGATTTCGTTCTAAACACATGGAGAAAATCCATGAAAATCCTAGAAATCACCAAAAATAGAGAAAAGAGAGGAAAAACGAAAACTCTAACCATTTAAAACTCACCTCCAAGCGTTCCCCACACAGATTCAACTTTCAATCTAGCTTTCGAACGGCTTTGGAGGCAATTTAATCGGTGGAAAAGGGTTTGGGAATGAGAGGATCCAAGGGACTTTGAAGGGAGAGGGAGAAATAACCTCGAATCCTAACCACCTTTAAATCTTTTTCTGGTCACGACACTCTTGCTACAACGAAAAACTCAGAGAAAATTGCCCTCTGATTTTTGCAGAATTTCGCTACAGCGAGACTGTACCCAGAAATGCGCCCCAAACTGTCGTTCTATCGCTACAGCGAGCGTCTTTCGCTACAACGAGAAGGCGACAGTTTTGATCCTTCCTCCCATGGCCCTCTCGCTGCAGTGAAGACAGCCTAGTATTACACTCTGCACTTAGGCACTTAGCCCATTTTCAACCCTATCCAGTCATGCATACACATATATATACACACGTCTACAACATACATATATATACACATATTCATACTCATTACATACAAAACACCATCATTACGCATTCAATGCAAATTTTCAACATCTATCTACACTTATACTCACATATACACACATTCAAATCTATATAAATAACAATAATTAATATTACAAAATTTAGGGTGTTACACTCTCTATTGACAATACCAGTGCAATTCAAATGGCTAATGATCTAGTTTTTCATGAGCGCATAAAATATATTGAAGTGGACTGTCATTCTATTCATGAAGCTTTCGATAATGGTGTCATCTCTCTTCCACACATCACCTCAACACTTCAGCTTGCAGATCTTTTTACCAAGATTGTCCCTCATCTTTGCCATAAATTTCTCGTACACAAATTAATGCTTCTTGACCAACTGCATCAATTTGAAAGGGAATATTAGACAAACAATTTGTTGGACTATTATTGCCTATAAATGTATTTAATTGCTTTCTATTATTTGTTGTACAAATTTGGAATGATAAAAAATAAGAAATTAGCCTATTAATTGTATATATTTAAGATTTTTAATATAGAGCCTACAAATTAGGAAATAGAATAAATATGTCATTATTTGTGGTAAATGAGAAATCTTCCCATAAACAGAGTATTATATTATTTATTGTGAGAAAATACAATCAGAAAGACAACGAGTCATTCAATGAATTTCTTGTGCATTACTAACATTTTAGTGTTTTCTATGATCTTCTTTGTTGTGGCATGTGTTGAATATGTTTTTGTTTTGTTGTTTTTGGATGTAGTTTGTTATTCCTAGAGTGAGTTCTCTTTTAGGATTTGTTAAGTTATTATTTAGTAAAGAATTACTTCAAACAAAATGAAAAAGAAAGCATTTGAAGATTTTTTATTTTTGGTTTCTTTTTCACATCATTTTCTTTTTCTTTGTTTTGCTGTAATGGCAATATTTACTTAGAGATTTTCCTTTTGAACCTTGTTGGCAGAAAATTTTTATTTAGCTGAGTTCATTTCATGCTATGACATCCTTTTTGTTACGAAAATGGTTCTTCTAAAGTGAGTCTGTTTGTAAAGTGTGAAAGTAAGAGATTAGTTACCTTTGAATTCTTATGGGTTAGTATTTTTTATATATTTTAAATTAAATCAATAACTCCTTACTTTTTACTTTACAAACAAACTCACTCTGGAGGAACCTTAACCTTTTGTTACAATCCTGCTGGGTCACTTTTGGAAAATTCTCTAATTTTCAAGAGACGCTATCTTATTGAACAAAAACAAACCCAAAAGTTTAATAAGCAGGACTTGTTCTCCATTCCTCCCAACATGTAAGCTATGACAGCCTCATAACATCCGTAATGAAGCGGCTCTTAAATTATGTTTAGAAAATTGCTCTACTACACACTTCTATGCATGCCTTAATATATTTACTGAACAAGTTATTTCGATACCCTTTTTTACAGGGTTGGACAGCCTCACTCAGTGGCTAGAGAACCCAACATATCCTAATATAACTCTGTCATGGAACATGATCCATGGTAAGACAAGTGAAAAACAAGATTTGTCTTCATGTTAATCCTATACTGATGTTGCGTTGTTTCTTTGTAGGAATTGGTATTATTTCACAGGAAATATTCTGGTCATCGAGCTATTATGTGGCAGTGGGTAATTTGGATGAGGAGGTGGAGGTATATCTTAAATCCTTTACCATACTTGCTCATGTTGTTGGCATAATTAATTAGATTCTCCCAGAACGATTGAAAGCGAAAGCCTTCGTAGACATTGGGGCCATGATGTGTTATTTTTCCTACGAAGATCTTCAAATAATTTTTTTTTTTGTTAAAATATATCTTGAAATAAGTAAAATTGGTATTAATTTATAGGATCTCATATTCAACAAAGGGGCAAAGAAAAATATAACAGTAAGCAAACTGTATGAGATTTATGGGATTCAACTATTGTGGACATCAAAGCAACAATATTCTAGTCTCATGTATTAGTCTTCTATGTCCTTAATTTGCTTGATTGACCAGAAAAGAAACAAATATCTTGCAAAACTTAAAATAGAGAAGCCAAACAAAGAACAAATTAGGTTAGTGTTTTACTCATCGTATCACAAGGATATCAATTATTAAGCCTTATTTTCTCATTTTCTTTTTTTAATGTACTTTTAGCACATTCATTTTTTTTCAATTGCAAAAATCGTCAGACCTTTCTGTTTTTAAAAAGGCCTTGCATTCTTTGTTAACCAGTCATTTTTAATTACTTTCCTTTTTTTTTTCTTGTTGAATAGGTGGAATTAAACCTCAGTGTAAAGGCCTTTTTGCATAATACAACGAACGCATACTACAAATGTTCTCTGACTAGTAGTCCATGCAGTTTGAATATTTTTTTTCCAGATGGAAATGCAGCTGTGCTAGTTTCTCCAGGTCCACAACAGGCAAGATTATTATCATGTACTTGCTTCAAATGAAATATTAAAGGGGACATAAAATTATTAATGCTACAACTTAGATTGGTTTATCTCCGACGTTGGAAGCTTCAAAATCTTGTGCCTTCTCTCCTTCAAAGAAAAAAACAGATTCCCTATTCCTTGGGCCCTTTGATATGCATATTCTTTATGTTTCAGTTCCGTTGCTTTTAATTATGCCTACTTTTCTTTGGTTCAGAACGCATCCAATGAGTGGTCTGTCAAAGTGTCCTATGGACCAAGATGGGTGACCTATATTTTTGGCATAGGTAGATTCTTTATGTAGTCAGCCTTTTACTTACCCTATCAATTTTAAATGGTTTTATATGCTACTATTTCTGATACTTCTGCCTACAGCTGGAATGACTTTGCTTATGTTATGGGCCTTCAACCACTTGAACACGCTGCAGTGTGCCCAAGAAGATAGAGTGGGAGTTACAATTGAGGAAATAGCACCTCAAAGAGCCCCTTTGCTTTCTCGTAAAGATGATGATCTCTCAAGTTGGGGTTCATCATATGATTCATTGCCACAGGATGAGGAGGATCTTGAATTTCTCCCAGGAGGTTCCATTGATGGGAAGTTTTCAGGTAATGGTGAAACCAGTAATAATACCCGGCGTCTTTGTGGAATTTGCTTTGATGCTCCAAGGGACTGCTTCTTCCTTCCATGTGGGCACTGTGTCGCTTGTTTTGCATGTGGAACTAGGTAATTCATTCACAACTAACACTCCAAATGCCTAGACCAAGAATAGATTCATATATATACATAGTCAGTTAAATTCATTAACACTAACAAATAAATGTAAAATTTAAATACTTTTATTTTTAATATCTTTTTAAATTGATTAATTCAATTTTTAAATTATCTTATATCATTTTTATGATCACATACATCAAATTTCATATCATATAAACATTTATAGATATCTAGAATTTAATATTTTAAAAACACATTTATTTCGTAAAATAAAGTAACATAATGAAACACTTAGTAGTTCTGTTATTGTTTGAAATTTTGTCAAATTATTTTACTTAACTTTATATTTTATAAAAGTTATTAAATAATATAAACGTTTAAATTTAACATTGGTAAAACGTATTTGAATGATCTATAAGCACACTCCTCTAGTAATTTTTCCCTGATATTTTCTTAGTATTTCTCATCAATATAACAACTAGCACGTGTCCAAGAATTCCCACATCAGAAGAAGGATTGAACATGCATAATTTCTTGGGAATTTGGCTCCCATTTATTTAAAATGGTTTCTGACAAGCAAATAAAGTTATGTTGATTCACTTTGCTAGTCCTTCTATTAACAATCTTAATTATATAGATTGCATTTCTGGTTGCATTCATCTTAATACATTTGAGGATGTTTTTTCTCGTGTGGTGATGTATGTAGGATAGTCGAGGCAGCTGGTACCTGCCCTGTTTGTCGAAGGAAAATGAAGAAGGTGAGAATGATTTTTACTGTCTGATCAGTGCACCACCCAGTGTCAGAGCCTCCATGAATAACCATCAGAGTCATAGATTACATTTTATGTACTCAATACACATTATTTTCCTGCCAACCATTAACAATGATCAAGCTAATGGTGCCTGCTGGTAAGGATCTAATTGGCCATTGCAACAAAACCTGAAGGGAAGGGTATAATGTAAATTGGAAAAACCTCAGGAGTTTTTACCGTAGGATACAATTTAATTGGTGCATGAGTGAATGTCTAGATACGCACATACGGCATAGCAATTGTATTGCTAATGTCTGTCATGCACTTCTTGCTTTTATTTTCTTTTTTCCCAGGACATAACAACCAAAGCTAAAAAGCTGGTGTAGATATTGTCATAGGATAATCATATGCAGCAAAAGATAAATCCCCTTGCTTGTCTCTCCATGAATTGTTTATCTCATCGCCAGTTTCCATCAGCACTGTCATATGATCCATTTATGATGTTGATCAGAACACCATTAGTAGTTTGGATCCAACCTAACTAAGCCTAATAATGATAACAATAATAGTTGCTTGAATCTAACCAACTATTAGCCATAATTGTAATACAAGGCCTATATCATGCTAGACTTTATCTTATGATAACACTCCCATGCTTTAAATGTAATTTACCCGCATTCGAGTTTTATGAAGTGCTTTTCTAGATATCCCACCATTGCCAACATGTGGTTCCAACATTCCTTCCATAACCTTTGACACCATCCTCAAGAGATCATACCTTGAAACATTATTTCAATTGAACTCACTTCAACTAATAACAACAATAATAATAAGTTTTGTTTTATTAGATCTAAAAAAAATCATGAATAGCTTAAAATTCAACATGCTTTAGTAAATAACTACACTCTACTTTAAACTAAAGTTTATTTATAAATAAATTTAATTCTAGGGTTATGTGATGCACAATCTTTAAATATTTAATTATCAGAACTAGAGTATCTGCTATAAATAATAGAACAAAAAAACAACTAAAAGAAAAGTATTCGTTAAAATTATTTAATTAATTAAAATAAATGTTTGTAGCTATGGTAAATTGATATTTGTATGGGAAAATATGTTCAAGATTTGTTCCACAAGAGAGCCCCATTCTCTAGAATGCTATTCTTTTGCTCTTAGTGGTTTTGAAACATCAATTATGACAAGTTGTCGTAATAATCTTGATTTGCTTAAAAAAGCCTCCCGACCTATTAAAATTGGCATTTAAGCATAGAAAAAGATTACATCACTGAGAAAAACACTCAATTTCAAATTAGGCTCTAATTTTATTGAGAGTAATTTCAAATCTTCAGATTATATCTTTCTACAAATGTTTGTACTTATTAAATGAATTTTTTAAGATATTAAATACATCTGTAATAACATTTAATGTTATTAATGTATTAGATTATACAATAAATAATTCTAAAGCGTTCTACATTTTATTCTTACCTATCCTTCTAAGTACTATATAACTCTAATATTAACTATTAAATAAAATATTCAAAAACTATGAATAACTTTATACTTAATTTTATTAAAAATCAATTAGGTTGACTAGTTTAAAGAAAATAAATTATCTTAAAATCACTTTTTATTTAACCTATGTAAAATTAAAGATAACAACAACCGACCATATTTATGGGTAGAAATTAATTTCTGACGAAAGTTATTCAGATTAATAATTTGTTATAAACATTAAATTATACCACTTTAATAATAAAAGTAATTCTTTTCAAATAAATTAAGTCTATAAAAAATATATAAATAAAAAATTAAACAATAATTCATACATAATTTAATATTAATGTTTAATATATTTTTTTAAAATATAAAACATATTATTAAAAAACTACATATGTACAAGAATTAAAATATGATATCGGCATTCGGCAATAACGTAAATATATCATGTTGTCAAAAGTTATTAAATATAATAGCAAGAGTTTATTTTTAAAACAACCTAATGTCCGTTCCAAATTTATAATCAATTATTAAAATAATTCGATCCAAAGACACACTTAAACAAATTAATTATATTATTTAAAGCTTAATATATTAATCATGGCATAGTTGGGCCTAGGAAGAGCATCGACATCTATTCCTCCTGGTACTTGTATTGTACTGGAAGAAACGAGGTATCATGATGTTCTTTTTTCTAATCTAATAGGGAGAACTGAGGAAGGCAAGATATGATATGAGATAATCCATTCAATTCAATTCCATTCCATTATCTGTTTCTCACCACTGAACAAAGAGCAGAGAAAACGAGAAGAGAAGGCATGGGTGTGGACTACTACAAGATTCTTCAGGTTGATAGAAGCGCCAAAGATGATGATCTCAAGAAAGCATACCGAAAGCTTGCCATGAAGTGGCATCCTGATAAGAACCCTAACAACAAAAAAGAGGCTGAAGCTAAATTCAAGCAAATCTCCGAAGCCTATGATGTATGTCAATACCACCTTTTATCTTAATTCTCCGCAAAATATGTTTTCTTCTTCAAAGTTGTAATTTTTATGAAGGGATTTAGCTAGAGAGTTGTTTTGAACTTGTGGGTGTGTGTGATGGTGAAAGGGTGTTATTTTACCCTAATTTGAATCTTGGAACAATTTTGATTTTATTGTTTGTCCTCCAAAGTTGCAATTTTTCTGAAGGGTTTCAATTTTGAGTTCGTGAGCATTCTCAATTTGAATCTAAAGTACTGAGGTAGGTTTTAAATATAGCACTGTTCATAATTTGATCTTCAGAATTTTTTTAATTGACATTTATTTTTTCATAGGTGGGGTTTGGTTATTGTTGGCTAATTTGAATTGTGAAATAGGTTTTGAGTGATCCACAGAAGCGAGCAGTGTATGATCAGTATGGTGAGGAAGGGTTGAAGGGGGTGCCACCCCCAGGTGCAGGTGGTTTTTCCAGCGGCAGTGACGGCGGGCCGACAACATTCCGGTTCAACCCCAGAAGTGCAGATGATATATTTTCAGAGTTTTTTGGGTTTTCCAGTCCCTTTGGTGGAATGGGGGACATGGGTGGGCGTGCTGGTGGCTCTGGATTTTCAAGGGGTGGCATGTTTGGTGAAGATATTTTTGCTCAATTTCGGAGTGGAGCTGGAGAGGGCTCTGGCCATATGCCAAGGAAAGGTGCAGCCATTGAGAAAACATTGCATTGTAGTTTGGAGGATCTGTATAAAGGGACTACCAAGAAAATGAAGATTTCGAGGGATGTTTGTGATTCCAGTGGGTGAGTTGTTTACTTTTACTTGCATGTCTCACTTTCTGATTTGATCAAGGAGACCTGTATTTGTTTATGTTGGTGTGTTATTGACAGAATCAGAATTTTTAGTTTCAAGCCAAATTTGATGATTTGTTAATTTATCTGATTTGATTAGTTACCTTGATCACTTGATACATTAGAAATTGAGCTGTATGTTTGTGGCCTTGTATGCTTAGAACAATCAACTTTCTACTGTTAAAGCGGTAGAATCTAATGTTGGACGAGAGTTTGACATATTTTGTTGTTTTGATGCTACCTATTTCTGAAAAGCTGCAAGTTAACATGCTTTATGCTGTTTCATAAACAATTTTCTTAATTTTTTTAATGCAAAGACATTGCACATGCTATTTCTCAAATGGTTTTAGACCTTTGTTCTTCATTGTGTCTCTAATTTTGTTCACAAAGATTAATAACATAATAGAATCTATTGTTTAAAGTCTACCTTGCCGATACAATTCAGTTAGTTGTGACTTGTGAGTCATAGCTATTAGGTCATGTGTATGCTATTAAAATTAGGTAAATGTGATTAACTTTAAGGCATGCTTTTTCTAATGTTGAACTAGGATTTTTTGTGCCTTCAAACAGATTCTGATGAATTTTCTTTGGTATTTTCTGTTTGATTAGCAGGAAATGTGACTATATATTTCTTTCTTTTTTCCTTTTTGCTTAAATATTTCTTTCTTTTTGTTGCTTGGTGTACATCCAACTAGTGAACCTCATTTTCCATCCATGTTTGCTCATTTCTCAACACAAGTTATAGCTGCTTGTATTTCATGAGTGCCAAACCTTCAGAAGAAAAAGATGCCCTTAGAGAGAGGCCTACAGTTGGGCTGTTACAGATGACTAATAGGCAGCCAGACAAAGGAATTTAAAAGAAGGAATTACTGGCTATTACTTTATCTTCCCTCTTGACCTTCCTGTACCTTGTTCATTACAACATGAGTTTCTTTTTTAAATTGGCTAGCTACACTTGATAAAGCTGGACTGTTGATGTTGGAATACATTGTCTTCTAGTGAATTGATGTTGGACAAACAAAAAACTTTTGAGGGAATGAATGTGTACAATGTATTCTACGACTTAGCAACTACTCATGGGGGCAGGTCAATGATGAATCTTCTTAAAAAGGTCTTTTTGATGGGCTTGAATATGCTTGCATTTTCATATTCATTCATCCCTTGCAATGTTGTCAAGATCTGGATCTTACCTAGGATCGGGAGGGGAGTCAAAAATCGTAAATTGTGGGATCGTAAAATAGATCGTAAGATCCTACCAAACATGTAAAATTATATATATATAAAAGCATAAAAAATAACATACATAAAGAAATTAACATCTAAATCACATAACTTAAAAGTCATATATTCTAGATCTAATACAACACATAATTAGTCAAACTAGTACTAACCTATTACAATAAATTTTGCAAGCCCCAATTTTATAATTGAAACACCATTCCAAGACCCAATTTTATGAAGTTATAACACAACTAGAAATAATATTCTGTTAATCAAAATTCTTAATCTTACCTCACAGTACTTTAATTATTTTCTTTATTTTTAGCACTTTTACTACCACAAACTATTATAATTTATAATATTTTTTATTGTTATTACTACTGTTGTGATTATTATCACTTGATTTTTTCTTTACTACTATTATAATTACTATTATTGCTATAGTTACTAATATATTAAAATCTTTAATTTAACTTTAATGTATTTCCAACTTTGTCTGCATTTAATTAAAAATGGAAAAATTGAATTATAATTTGACTAGAAATTATAGTTATATGTCTTGATTGTTTGCACAACTAAAACATAATAATTACGTTCTAAATCAATTTCAATTTGTCTTTAAAACTCTGGTTAACATTATCAAATAAAACATAATAAAAACTTGGTTTCATATCATTGTCGCCATCAAGTATTCATGGGTGAGGGTCCCTTTGTTTTTGGGGTCAAGAGGGTAAATGAAAAACTGAGACCCACACAGATCCACCCACACAGAACTGAGACAGACTCACTCAAATAGAACCAGCCACACCCATGGAGAATTGTGAAACAGAGCAGCGAACCAGAATAGCAAACTAGAACAGCAAACACCAATCAACACAAAACCAATAGGAAGAGCAAATAGGAACAGCAAACACCAATCAACACAAGACCAGAACAGGAAGCACCAACCAACAGCAAACACCAAAAATCACCGACCAACCAAACCAGCTTGGGTCGCACGGAAGAGAGAAGATGAGAGAGGGAAAAAATTACCCTAAAACTATTTTTAAAAACCGGGTCAGAAAAACTTGACCCGAAAATCCAACCTGCAAAAGCCCAACCCAAAAATCCAAGGCCAGAATCTGATCCAGAAACCTGCGCCCAGGATCGGATCGGATCACCAATCTACGATTTTATGGGAGAAGATCAAGATCCCAACCGATCTTATAGATTTGCAATCCTAATTCCAATCAAGATCGCAAGGGAGGTTTAGGATCATAAAATCGTACGATCTTGCGATTTTAATCGTGATTTTAACAACATTGATCCCTTGGTATAGTTAATTGATAAATCTTTTTAAAGATGTCTCATAACTGGCTTAAATGAACTAGTGTTTTCCTATTTCGATCTTCCTTAGTAATAGTTTATGATATTTAATTAGCATCTCTACATACTTAACGCCGTTAGGTAACCCTTATGAGTAGTTTGTTTAAATCTATGAAGTCTGGATACTTGATACGACACGGATACAATACAGTACGGATACGGGATACGGAAAAAATTTAAATTTCAAGGAACGACTTAGATACTTTAACACGAATTTAAAGAAATAATATTTATAAAGAGATATTGATAATTAATTTATATTAATGTGTTGCATTTACATATCAATGATCACATTTTACAAAAAAATACATGCGATCATATCTTTTCCTTGTCTATAAACACACACAAAAATTACATATTTTACCTCCTATTCAAGTTAGAATTCCACAAAAGAAATAGTAGTTCTATCCAAAAGAAATATAGAACTATCACAAAAAAAATATCCTGTCTTTATACTATTTAATTCTAACATTGTCACACTCATTTCTTTCATCCCCATCGTCTACAAAAAGTATAACTTTTAAGTCTGATTCATCAAGAGATAATTCAGTCAATTCAAGAAATCCAGCACCATCAACAAGTGGATCATGTCCATCTCCACTAATATCGCACATTCTTGTCTCTCCTTTAGTATACTTTTCTTCTTTCCTAGACAAAAGACAAAGATTGGAATGCACATAAACCAACTAGGAGAGTGATCCAATCACATTCATTGAAAACATTTTCATTTCCATCAATATTTCTAGCTGCACATATGATGAAACTCAGCTTCAATTAACATCCCAACTGCTTTACAAACAGGAGCATTATCGGTTATGATTTGAACAATATTTTTTTGCCCTACTTCATTAATTACATCCTCTATTATGTCAGTCATGTAGTGTTTATCCTTGTACTCCTTAGAACCATCAACCGCCTTTAAAAATATTGGCTCTCCTTCACTTACAACCATGAAATTTATCAATGGCCTTCTTTAAACATCTGTCTATCCATCGGAAACTAATGTAACTCCTTTTATAAGCCATAAAAATTTTATAGGTTTGAGCAACCTTTCAATATGAGATCTCTCTTGTTGTAAAAGACTAGTTCTTAAAGCTTTATAACTAGGAGGAAGGAAACTACTAAGGTTATGGTTGGCAGCAAATGAATAAGAGCTAACATAGTAAGGATTTCTAGCAAGATGAAATGATAAGCCTGCTGAATAAAACATTCTTGCAATCTCTGCTCTAAGTTGATTCCTTGCATCAACATTGAAAGCCCTTTCTAGTCTACTATTTCTTGTTTTTCTTCTTTTGTGATAAGGTTGCTGGAGCTGAAGGTAGTGGGATAGTTTTAGGGTTAATTTTATTCTGAGCTTCTTCACAAATTCTTTTCAAATCAGCCAAATACTCAATAGTGACCTTAGGACAAAGAGTAACATCAGCACCGAGTATTCTAAGTAAATGTGTGACCACTTTCTCACAAAAATTACAACTCTATAGCCTGTTGCCTCCTCCATCTGCTAACTTATCCTTTATAGTGACAAATGCTCAAAGTAGACCATGATTATCTTGAAGTTCTAATGAACCAAAGTTATTTGGAATTCTAAAATTAGACTCAGCATCAGAACTTATTTTTTGTCAACAAACACAGCTGTTGAAAAATACAAAAATAATATTTTTACTTTGTTGCTATAAAATGAATAGAAAAAAAGAGATTTAAAAAGAGAAAATTTGTGAGATTTTACCGCAACTGCAATAGAGTAAAGTTTAAGACTGTTGCTGTAAAATATGGAGAAGAGTAACAAAACTGTTGCTGAAGTCCAGAGAAGAGAAACAAAGTTCAAAACAGAAATCACATCACCCACTATCATGAATTGGAGAATCAACACCTCAGGAATTTGCTGGACCAGAATCGACCTCTCAAAACACTTCAAATCATCTTGCTTCCGCAATAGTTCTTGTTTCCCCAAGAGAATCGTAGCTCGAAGAAGCCCTAGCGGGGTTTTGATTTTGGGTGAGGTTCTAGGGCATTCCTATCTCGCAAAGAAAGAGAGAAATGGGGAAATGGGAGAAGAAAATCGCAATTTGAAGAAGCCCTAGCTAGGTTTTGATTTTGGGTGAGGTTCTGGGGCACTCCTATCTCACGAAGAATGAGAGAAATCGGGAATGGGAGAAGAAAGAATGAAAGAAATGGAGAAATGGGAGAAGAAAGATTGAAACACTCCGTTTCAATAATAAATGTATTGGAGCTGTTAGCCGAGCCGTATCTGATGATTTAAAGCAGTATCCAAGCTGTATCTCTTCTGAAATTAATTTTTAATAATAAATTAAATTACTGATACTTTTGGGATACATATTTAGACATAGCGGACACATATCGTTATCAGATACGTGTCCGACATGGATACTTTTAGTGTTTTCACGTATCTGGGCTTCATAGGTTTAAATAGATTAGTCAATTATCCATTAGTTAGTTAGTTGAATTAGTTTAAATATTGCATGTTCCCTATAAACAATAAAAAGGGTTGAGAGGAAGATATTTGTTAAGAAACTTGGGTCTAATTTACTCTTAAAAGCTAACTTATAGGAGGAGGATTATCATAGTCCTTATAAGAAGTATTTTGACTCTATTCCTAGCTAATGTGAAACATCTTAACACATACCCCCTATGCCGAGGACTAGATATCTGCAAGTGATCCAATAGGACTGAACATCCATAGGCAGCCTAACATTTAAATTAGATAAGCTCTGATACCATGTTAAAAAATTAAGCTTAACTTACTCCTAAAAACTTGTTCATAAGAAACTATTTTAGTCCTTATAAAGAGTATTCTGACTTTATCTCTAACCAATATGAGACAGCTTAATAATATTATTTGGTGATTTGAGAGGAAATGCAAATTGTTGTAAGAAAGTCCAGGCCTCTCGAAAGTCTTGGGAATCATTTACATTCTTTTCAGTTAATAAAAACTTTTCTTTCGACAAATCTGATCCAGTTCTATCAGAAATCTGCTGCAATAATGGACTGGGCGTAACAAAATGTACAAAGGAATGTAACAGTGGCTTCGGTCCAAGAGAACAAGGTAGAAAACTGAACAGACCACAAGGGTCAATGGGTGGCCAGAGAATGCTGGAAATACTGTTGGAGAAGGTTGGGTGGGGGTGACTTGTCCAGATGCAGGAGGGTAACCTGGCCAAGAAATAGGATTTTTCCTTCTTTGGTTCTGAAAAGAGGGGAGAAATCACAATATCCCTCCCATGAATCCCCTAAATGATGCTGTTACACCATTTCTTGCATTGCTATAGCTCATGAAATGCTGCAGCTTTGGCCGCAAATTTGGTCACAATGGCTGTACTGAAACCCCTCCACTATTCGAATCTTGTAGCAGCCCAGTCTACTCTGCTCCACAATGTCACTATAAACTCAAATATTGACTACTGTGACTAAAAGAGTAGTTATCATTGATAGTTTTGGAAACATTACGATCTTAGAAATGGTTCAATTCTTTATTATTCTTGTAAATGCAAATTGTCTTTATTTTTCCATGCATATAAATATTGGTATGCTGAGTGCAAAATGCTCAGGCGGTTTGCTAATGTCTCACTTGAAATTTATTCTCAAGTAGTTGCACAACTTGTTGGTTAGTAGTCCATAATTTACATTTGTAGTTGGAGATATTGAAAGTTACAGTACCTAATTACTCCTTTTTCTACATAATATATTCTATTAGGTGTGTATTTTAATAAGTTAATTTTGAGAAAATAATCATTTTATTTTACAGCTTCCTAAAGAGGTTTAAGAAAAATAAAAATGTTTAACCCCCCCTCCAACCCCCCCCCCCCCCCAAAAAAAAAAAAAACAAAATCCAATCCCAAACATGTGCATTGGTAGGACTATAGGATTCTATTCTACATTGAATTGGGAGATGCTTTTCATAGTCAGTCAAGTAATACAAATAATAATACTGATCTTGTGGCATGATTTTTATGAATATTTATTTTCATTCACATGGTTTAAACGCTTAAGAATTGTCATGGGAGAAATTACTTGTGAAATTAGTTTAACGGAAGGTGGATTGTAAGAATGTGTTCATAATCTTTGATGTTGGTTGTAACTACAAGTACTTAATCTATAACGTATATCCTTCTTTGTAGGAGACCGACCACAGTAGAGGAAATCCTTACAATTGAGATCAAGCCAGGTTGGAAGAAAGGAACAAAAATAACTTTTCCAGAAAAGGGAAATGAACAAAGAGGAGTTATACCTGCAGACCTTGTCTTTATAATTGATGAGAAGCCTCATAGCCTCTTCAAGAGGGATGGCAATGACCTTGTTGTCACCCAGAAGATATCTCTGGTAGAAGCCTTGACGGGTTACACAGTGCAGCTGACAACCCTTGACGGACGCAATCTTACAATCCCCGTTAACTCCATTATTAGTCCAACTTATGAAGAAGTTGTCAAGGGCGAGGGTATGCCAATTCCCAAAGAACCATCCAAGAAAGGAAACTTGAGAATCAAGTTCAATATCAAGTTTCCCTCCAGGCTTACATCAGAACAAAAAAGTGGCATTAAGCGGTTATTGACGTCTCCATAAGCATTTGTGGTAGCTCTTCCTACCATTTACCTAACTGTAAGATTTCGGTTGTTTTATTTTTGGTTTTTTGATTTTCAAATGGAAATTCCTGCATCTTTGAACTGGATTTCAATTAGAACAGTTTATTAGAGTATGATATTTGTTAATTGTTTCATGTCTTTAGTTTTTGGTAGTGACAATTTTCTTAACCACTTACACTCTTGTTTATGTGAAATGTGCCTGCGAAATTGAATTTCTTTGTACTTGCGCAATGATACATTTCTTATTGTGGTGTTGCCTTGCGTATCTGGAGAGAAATAGTAGTTTAATTGTTGTTTTCGTCATTTCAGAGGTCCATATGCACATAACATTCAACTTGAAAAGTGAAAACCTCAGTATAACTCGACAGTGATTTGCCATTTTATATAGCGGTCAAATACTCAATGTTGCTCAATGAAAATGGTAGATTCTAGATCCTCCCTATCTTTTTTTTTTTTTTGAAGAAAGGTGGAGGATGGCTTCTTAAAAGCTCATGATTTAACAGTTTTCAGGTTGATATTTCAAGTAATCACTTGTTATAGACAGTTGCAATGTGAATGGAACAATCTGTTAATGAAGGATAAAAAGATAAATATTGTGAATATTATGGTCCTTGACTCGTTGGAATTCATGGAGAGGCTTCACAACCGGATTTCCTTTATTCTGCTTTAAACAAACACTCCCTTAAAACAAAATTCCAACAAAAATATATTCAACCAAAACTCCGGAATTTTGTTTATTTATCTTTTATTAATTGCATTTCCATTATCTTGTCATCTAATTTTAACTGTTAGATTAAAAACACATTAAATCAACAATGGAGAAGTTATCCCAACTTTGAAGAGGCCATCGTCCAAAGCCTTCTCAAAAAGTAAAGGAGGATGTAGAATTCACCAATAAAAATGTCATGCATTTGATAAGAAAAATATTATTAGAATAAAAATATTTTAAAAATAATGATTACAAATATTTTTTTAAAGTTATTATTTTTAATTTTTTTGTCAAATTATACTTGTGATTAAGCTAATTAAATTTTTAAATATTATTAATATATTATTATAAATTTTATGAGATTTAAATAGCTCATTCTAATAAGCTTAATAAGTTTTTTCTTAAGCTCAAGTCTTATCTATTTAATCAATTAAGCTTTTTAAAAAGTTTAAATTAAGCCTATTAATTAAATATATTAGGCCAGGTTAGGCTTTAAAAAGGCTAAGCTGTAGGCTCCTGTTGGATGGACTAACCTATTTTCATTCCTATCCGTCAAGTATTTAAGTTCCTAGAATCAGACGTCATTAATAGATAGTAATGGAATGTTGACATGTTATGTTAAGTGATACGTCATTGCTTACGTTGCAAAATGATGCTGACGTGTCACTTTTAAGTGACACGTATCATTGATTACGTAACAAAAATGATATCGTATGTGATATAATATATGTTTTTGTTTCATTTTAGTCCTTGAGATTATAACTCGTTAGGCATTTTAGTTCTTGAAATTATCACCGACATTTTAGTTCTAACAACACTTTAGCAAGTGCACTGAATCATACAAGTAATATAATGAAAGTAAAGTATCGTTCCTATGGAGATTGATGCAAACACGTATTGATTCACTACATTGAACTAATTGAATGCGATTAGGATTGAAGAAGACTCTAAAATGTAAATTGATTTAATTCACTTTGCAAGTAAATAATAACGAAATATGAAATAAGATGAGAAAAATCAATGATAAGATAGTTAGAATTATACTTCACCCATTATTCATGTGATAAATTAAACTCCTTTACTAGTTCAAGCTCTTCTTAAGATGTTAAGAAAAGTTTCCACTAAATTAATTCATATCAAATTCCTTGGTATACAAATTATCTTAAACCCATACACAAAGATTAATTCAGTAAGTCCAAATGTATGAGTCTAAGGTTTTAGAGTACAAGGAAATCAAAAAATCACACACCCAATAATTTCTATTCCTAGAAAATTAAATGATGAGGCAAGTAAATTAAGAAGCACAACCACTCATTCCATTTTTCAATGTCAAGAAGGTTCATCAAAACAAAACATGATTAGCTAGTTCTTACCAAGCATTAAAAATGAATTTACAAGCTAACATCAAAAGAAGCTTAAACTAAAGTCAAGAATCTAATTACATCACAATCCCAAAGGAATCCATCAACCCTAACTACAAAATGTTTAGCATTCCATCATAGAAATGAAAAACACAAGAAAAGAAGGAGAGGTCCCCTTAGCCATATTCTTGAGAAGAAAATGAGTCTGAGAATCTTCTCCAATCTTTCTCTCCAAAGACCCAAGTATAGGTCCGATCTTCTTACCCTCAAAGAGTTGCTCCATGGCTCTCTCTCACAAAAAACCCTCCTTTTCTTACAATGTGTCTCCAATCTCTTTTATATTCCACAATATGTATTCTTGTCCACATCAATAAATTTGCACCTTGTGCCTTGATGCACAAACGTCTGCACTTAATTAACTAATCGTGATAAGCGCCTTAGTGCACACAAGCTTGCGCCTTGGCACAAGATGACCCGAGAGTATATTGTCACACTTGGGTGGCGCCTTGGCACACATAGGTTTGTGCCTTGGCGCTGAATAACCTGCAATTAATATCCACACTTTAGCAATTTTCACCAAAAACAATATTAAGGTAAGAAAAATGTAAAAACTAGAATTCTAATAAATTTAGAAGAAAATATGAAATTTAAGAAGTTAAAGAAGAAGAAAAGAAGATTAAAATTAACTAAAAAAAAATACATACTACTAGACTCTTAACAAACTCTCCCACACTTAGTTGTTTGCTTGTCCCCGGGCAAACACAGACAACTCACAAACATACAATTTTCAAATGCAACTCAAATAAATAATGAGAAAATCTTAGTGAGAGAACAATTATTCCAAAAGAGAGAAGTGGTTAAAGCAAAGAGGTGGAATAGTAGATTATAAGTATTAAGTCAAATCAAACAGTACATTTAGGCCAATTAAGTAAATCTAGAAGTAAGTACAAATGTAAACCTTTATACAACCCTTAAAAATCAACGATTAAATTGAAGTTGGTTACTGAAATTGAACATGAATATATTCTTTTTCTTTTTCTTTTTTTCTTTTTTTCTTTTCTTTTTTTGGACAGGGGTTCCAAGATGTGGTGAAAGAACATTGCCTAATCCCACACTTAAGTGATTTAGGTGATTAGCCCCACCCCCTGGTTAATTAAGGCATTGCAAGCAATGGAGCAGAGCCCTTACTATATCCATATAATTCAATTTTTTCTTTCAATACATCAATTTCAAGAAAGCATAAAAATTTGCACATGAACTACTTCCAAAACATTTCCTATTTAGGAGAGAAATGCACTAATCATCTTTAGCAAAATACTTTTTCATTAACATATTCTAAGAATTTGCTAAAGCAACTGAAATTTGGCATAGGTTCTCAAACTAAAATAATCTCACATGACATTATGAGCTGAGCTAGAAGAGCAATGAACAATGAATAAACAAACAAACAAACAATGACATAGATAATCACATTAACACAATCTTAGGATATATTTTAAGACAATAAATACTCTCCTATCTCTTTGTAATGGTGTGACAATTCAATTCTGCAACTCTTGTAGTCATCATCAGTAGTGTCCTTTGTTCATCCCTTGCTAGACTCAAAAAGTCACATTAAAAATATGTCATAACAAAATTTGGAAAATTAAAAATCACAATCAACCAAACACATCAGAACATAAAAGATATAACATGAACAAAAGTCTTAAACAAAGAAACCAAAAAAAAAAAAATGATAAAACAAACTCTAATTAAAAAGAATTGTCCCTTTTAACTACTCTAAAAATATTTATAATCACTATTTTTAAAGTATTTTTATTCTAATAATATTTTTCTTATTTTGAAGGTTGATGAACAATATGAAGAGATCTTCTTAAAAATCTGATGACATATTTGTTTCTTCTCATTTATTATGAAAAAAAATATAGTTATTTATATATTTTAGATTTTTGTTTGTTGCATTTACTAATTTTAGATCTGAAACTTATTTAGTTATATTGTGTTTGTTGATTTAATATATAAGACTTTGTGCTACTAAATTTGTTTAATAATTTATAAATTAATGTTTATTTTATTATATTTTTTATATGTGTAGTGATTTACTTGTTTAAATTAAATATGTAGTTTGAAAGTGATACTATGTAACTTATTATACATATTCAATATATTGAATCATGTTTTTTAATAGTTTATTTATATATAAGCTTTATGACTTTTAAAAAGACATACTTATTTAAATAGTTTAATAATCCATTTATAAGAAAGTTTAATGACCTATTGAATATTTCAATGCAAAATAGTTATTAAAAAGGCTAACAGGTCAAAGTAGGCTTTAAAAAAGGCCAAATTAAACTTAATAAAAAATCTATGACAGATAATAAGTAGACTTCAAAATTATTAAATAAGCTATATTTATTTATACAAAACCTAACTTATTTCTATCCTTACCGAGAAAGATGAAAGTCAGGGATTAACATGACATTTTTAATTTTTTAGTGACTAAAATACAAAATATAAACTCTCTTAGAGACCAAAATGAGAGTTTAGTAAAAAAAAATATATGATAACCTTTCTTGATGTTGCAATTTTGACTTGTACATGATTCTTATTTATTTTAATTTATGTTACTGTTGTATTTTTAAAAAATAGTATACAAATTAAAAAATGTAAACACTTATTTTAACTCTTGATCTTTGTGGTGTTTGTAGCGGCTATAATTATAAATTTAAATAAACCAAATATCTTAACTAGCCCAAATTTAGAAAATTAATTTAAATAAATATTTAATTAAAATTATATCTCAAACTTTTAAATTTAATTTCTCATATTAAATATTTAAAGTAGATAAGTTTTAAATTCATATAAGTTGACCTACCTTAAATTTCTATTTTTTGTTTTATTTGAGAAAATTTATAATTTTCTTAAAAGAACATTTTTTTATAAATTGATAACTTAAATTTATTTAAGTTAATTTGATTTTAGTTGAAAAATAAATTTTATTGAAATGTTAAACTAATTTAAAATTATTGAATTAATTAAAACCTTTAAACATTTTAAATAATAAAATAATGTGAAAAAATTATCTTTATTTTTAGTCAAACATTTTATTATTTTGCAGAAGAAATGAAAATGTGAGATCTCGGACCATACTAAAAATTTTACTCTCCTCTATGCCGCAATTTCGGCATGAACATGATTCTTTTTTATTTTAATTTTTGAAGGATTAAAAAATAAACTTTTATGACTAGACAACTTAAATATATTTAAATTAATCCATTCTAGAAATAATTTTTATAAGAAAAAATCAAACGTAAATTCATTTAATTAATTTAGATCTTCATATCCACTTTAAAATTCTTTGACATCTAACAAAAAAAATTCCTGAGCAATAAAATAATATAAAAAATAAATCTTCCCCTCTTTTATAGAAGTAAAAAAAAAAATACATGGCTGAAATTTTTTTTCATTTATAATAGCACTATCTAACTTTTTGAGTTTTAATTGATTTTTTTATTTGTTAATTTTTTAAAATTATAAATAATATAAAAAACAAAAAATTATAAGTATAAGAAAAAATTTGTAACGATTTTTTTACAATAAATCTTTTTACACAAATTTTTTTTTCTACGCTCGTTAAAAAATTATTTTATTTTATTTTATTTACTTATTCAAATAATATATTTCTTTCTTATTTTATTTTATTTCAGTTTTCGTCCAAGTAAATGCTATAAATTGAGAAGCAGAAGTGGCAAAGGGAGGAGTGAAGGAAGCAATTTAAGGGGAAAAAATTACATAGCATCATTGGTATTTTTCCAAGACACAGTCACTCGTACCTGACTTTCTTTTTCTTCCTTCCTTTCAATTTTTCCCCACTTTCTCTACACTCTCTTTGATCCCTTCTCTTCCCATGAATTCCCTTTAGTCTCTCCTAATCCAAATCCCAATCTCTTTCTCTTAGATCTCAATTGGGTTATGGAAACGGTTTTTAGCCCCCGCACTGTTGAAGAGATCTTCAAGGACTATAGCGCCCGAAGAACCGCTGTTATTCGTGCTCTTACTCAAGGTACTCTTTTCCTTCCAAATTCCCTTTTGCCTCTCATTTTCAAGATTTTGACTTTCTTTCCCTTCTCTTCTCTCAGACGTCGATGAATTTTACGGCCTCTGTGATCCAGGTAAAGGGTAATTTGGATCTGATTTTTTTTTTTGTTAATTTATTTAATTATTTTATGTTACATGTAAAAGGAATGTTTTTGTTTTCTGGTTGTGTTTGAATTGTGCATGCATGTTGGTTGGTGTTAACAAGGTAGACTTTTTATTCATAGAAATTTAGGAAATCGAAACGGGTGTGCAGTAATGAGAAAAAACGAAATAAAAAGAAAAAGAAAATAGTTCTTGCATTGGATTTGCTCTGTGACATTTGAGTCTGTCATTTGAGGCTCACACTCACACCCATTTTTACTTCAAATTTGGCTAAATTGAGATTGTTAATTCATGCGGTTTTGTGATTGTTGAATGTTGTGTTGTTCCATTGAATTTGAAGCTCGTGTGTTTCTTTAGATAAGGAAAACTTGTGTCTCTATGGACTTCCGAATGAAAACTGGGAAGTAACTCTGCCGGTGGATGAAGTTCCGCCGGAGCTCCCCGAGCCGGCACTTGGAATCAATTTTGCTAGAGATGGCATGAATCGAAGGGATTGGCTTTCGTTGGTTGCTGTGCATAGTGATTCATGGTTGCTTTCTGTGGCCTTTTACCTTGGAGCTCGCCTTAACCGCAATGAGAGGTACAATCTTGTTTCGATGGAGATGCGTATTTGTGGTAGTAATTTGAGTTTGTTGTTGCATTTTGTATGTTAATGTTGAAATTATGGGTACATTTATAGTTAGTTCTCAACATTCATGTAAATCATTATGATGGACGAATTTCAAGTTTTCAACTACATGGTGGTGGTTCAAATTTTTCTGTTGTTTGTTGTGATCTGATGCTAGATAGGTTTATGCTGGCATGCCTTGTGTTGCTGGAAAAGCTTTCTTAATACAATCTTATGTTTGCCAGCAACATCAGCAGAGCTCCACATCCGGCAACTTTTTCATAAAGTGTAAATTTTGAGTTTAGCAATGAGAGTAGCAATGTTAACAGCTCCAATGGAGGTCTTTCATCGTGTCATGTTTTGTGTAGCATTGGTCATGGCTGGTGTGTCTGTTATTGTAAAACAGGGCAAAAATCCAATTCTTCCCTTCGACCCTCCCCTCCTTTTATACATAGTACTGTCGTTCTATGATCTGTTTGCACCATTTCACAGGTTTCTCAATGCTCAATGACATTTTACAGGTATCCCATTTGTTTCACTGTATTTTTTTTTAACTATTTAATGTTTTGACCGTATGTTAAGTTGATTGATTTTAATTCCTTTTAGTTTCAATTCCATCAGTCTCCTACTTCAGAGATTGTTAATTTTGGAGTACCTTTGATATTTGAGCATAGAATTTTTGGGGTTGGCCTTGGCTCTGTGGTTTTTGGGATTGACTGCTGTCACTGCTGTGGTACCTTTAGTTTTGGAGTACCTTTGCTCTGGTATTTGTGATTGACTACTACGGCTTTCCCTTCAACTAGAAATTACTGTAACTGCCAATTGAAAAGGATGTCAATATATACAACTTCTATTGGATTTCTTTATTGTAGCATTTTTGCTCAGCATCTGCTGCAACTTGGTATATGGTTCCATCTATTGATGGTTCCCCTGATTCTTCATGGCAGGAAACGTTTGTTTAGTTTGGTCAATGATCTTCCCACCATTTTTGAAGTTGTGACTGATAGAAAACCAATTAAGGACAAGCCCGCCGTGGATAGTGGAAGCAAATCCCGAGGAAGCACCAAGGTTAGAGACTTGAGTTCTTTTCTAGTAATATTTGTTTCTTTATTAAGTTTATTTCTTTTGGCTGGTTCAATATAGGTCAGTTCAGAGTCTTGGTTTCATAATGCTTGTGCATACTGAAAGTTTCACAAATAAAATTAAAAACCAAAATCAGTATATCAATTTCACTAAATAAATATACAATTTTTTTTTTTGTGAATGACAAACAAAAGCATAGTAGCTTCTAGAAGTATGATCTGACATCTCTAATTTGAGAGGTAAGAAGAGAGTTGACCAGAACACTAAACTTGCAGGAAACAAAGCTTAGACATATTGACATCTCTAATTTATTTCCTTTTAAGTAGTTTGAGTAAACCAGAAGCCGCATTTGAAAAGTATAGATAAATACTATACAAAGCCTTAGTATTTCTGGCTCCTAAATTTGATGTCATTGTTGAACTAAGTTCATTATCTTTCACTGTCACACATTTACTTTTCTCCAAGCATGTGGATAAGATAAAGTAAATAAAAAACAGAGCATCAGTGGACCACATTCTAAGCTGCCAGTGCCTTAATGCTTGTTATATTGTATGTTATTGCACTATTAGTTTAGGCTTCCAGCATGTGCAATACCATTCCTGGTCACATTATGTATTCCATATATGATGCATTCTTGCACATCTATTTGCAGAGATCTAGCGATGGGCAAGTTAAAAGCAACCCGAAGTTTGCAGATGAGGGTTATGAGGATGATGATGATGAGCATAGTGAAACACTTTGTGGTTGCTGCGGTGGAAATTACAACGCGGATGAGTTTTGGATTGGCTGTGATGTATGTGAGAGGTGGTTCCATGGGAAATGTGTTAAGATTACCCCTGCAAAGGCTGAGGGCATAAAGCAATATAAATGTCCATCATGCAGCATGAAGCGGAACAAGACTTAGGCTGAAGGCAATAGGTATATGTGAGGTGAATGCTGATTTGTTGCTGACAATATACTGTAATATTGTTACATCACTTGGAGAAGTTAATGTAATGGGGCGTAGTAGTCTAATGGGATTAAGTTTGTTTTCACCAAGATGAATTGTTAGTATCTGTTATTATACATTTACAGTATAGAATAGAATATGACAAATTTTAATTTGTCAATTAATTGATATTTTGCTTGAATGCACACCATAATTTTGTTCTTGCTTCTTCTTTTTTTTTTTTTTCTTTTTGTTTCATTATTGTTTCAGAAAATAAAATGTGGTCATTTTTCACCTTTTCTCCTCCACAGTTTCTTCTAATCAAACTTCCTTTTATGTTGCTTGATGGTTTAATTACAAGATTATGTGAATGGAAAGCTTGGTGAAGGCCTTTGATAAAAGAAACAAAAACCTGAATTAATGTATGTGGCTAGTAAGACAGTGAAAAAAGTTTATTTTTAGGTGCATTCTGTGTGTCGAAGTTTATTATAATATCTCAAAAACAGAATATTAAATTTAACTTCCCAGCTAATAATATTGTTTGCATTATTAAGCAAATGAGCTAAGGTTTGATTTTGAGATTTGTAAGTGTAGAAAGAATAGTGCTAGGAGAGATAATACATTCTCACTTTCATACTTGAGAGTAGTTAGAAAGATTAGTCATTTACTTGTTGGATAAGAGAATAATTTTGGAAAATAAAAAAAAAAATACTGTTGCTTTAATTGTTGAAGTCATGTTGACCATTGGAATGTTGATCTCTTAGGGATTTAATGTCAAAGCCAACTTAGGATTCGAAAATTGTTGACTCAATGGGATCTAAAACCCATGTAATGCTGCAGTTACCCCAAAGAAAATGTTGCAAAAAATGACAGAAAAATAAATTCATAAATGTTAGGCAGAGTTGTATGTAAACTTGATGCAATAGGAATGAAGGACAAGATTCGAGTCCTGAATATGTTACTTGAAGGATATGGGTTTAATTGTACGAATTCAGAGGTCAAAAGTGTAGTGTCCAGGGACGATTTTATAATTGAATTTCTTTTAATAAATTTTTTGAAAAAAATTTATTTAATTTATTCTGGTAATTTATACCATTTAACTTATAAATAAACTCATTTAGTAAAATTTTGTTAAATAAAAGCTTAATTAAGAAGCTTATCTAAACCCATTGTAAGTCTTTTTTTTAAAAAAAAAAAAAAAAACTCAGTCGTAAGCAAATGATCCGTTTCTCTAAGCAACATAGAAGAGGCCAAATAATCCGCTAATGAATTTAAATTGAAGAGGAAACTACGTGTGCTATTTCTAATTGGGGACATTGACTCAATCATAGACATTCTCGTCAAGAAAATTGTTAGCAACATAGTAGTATTCTTTAACACACGTTTTATAATTAGTTTATTTTCATAAAAGTTAAATACTCACCTTTACAATTAATCACTCCTTAAGAATCACTTTTAACATTTTAAGAAATATATCAACTATAAATAACGTGTTAAATTCCATCCATGGCTTAAAGACAAAGAATAAAGCACAAGGAAAAATGAAGTGTTGGAACAAGCATACACCTGGGTTTTTTCGACAATTACAGACACTGAGCAGAATCTGAGGGGGAATGTAGCTTAGTGAACATCGAAACCTTGGTTAATTCTCTGTGTTTTGTCCTTTGTTTGGCGTGCTTTTACTATAATCGTGTTCTTTACAACCCCATGATGGCTTGGGCCTCTTAGACCCCAAAAAGTTGAGTTATGGGTTCGAATCGCTCAGATGGTTCAGCCACTGGCAAAGAACGCTTACGATGGACACAACAACTCCATGAACGATTCGTGGAGGCTGTAGATAGACTTGGGGGCCCTGATAGTAAGTGTTTCCATCATTATTCATTACTATGAATAACCATACTACTTCTACTTCTGTTCTTTATCTTCAGAGAAAACAAATTAACAGGTTTAGAAATTTTATTCTTTTGTTTGAATTAATTGTTGAATTTATTAATTGTCCTTTAATAAGGTATCTTTTTTTAATACTTGAAATGCTTAAACAATATAAATGTTTTAGGTAAAAAAAAATCAATAAAAGAATAGTAATTAATATTGACCTCGTTTATTTTAGCTTTTGGAAAAATGTGATTTTTAAGATATATAAAAAGTGATTTATTTTTAAAGATATTTTCATAAAAATACAAGTTACGTTTGTTTGGTTAGAATTATAAATTTTTTTTTATAATTATATTAGTAGGTAGTTATAATTTCAGTTATATATATATATAGAAGATATTCGAAACAGCTTCTCTGAAAAAGGTAAAATTAGATTTTTTTCATCTTCTGATTTTTTTTTCATAAACTTAACCAATCAATCTAAAAATTGATAAGTGGTTTTTTTAAGTGCCTTTTCATGAAAATAATCGTAAACAAACGGGCTCATTGTCATGAATTTCTATGGACAAATAAATATCAATAATTTTAAGCTTTTGTACCATATTTTAAAAATAATCTTTTTAATGTGAATCTAAAGATACAATAAAAATCTACATGCATAAGTTTGACAATATTAAATATTATAATTTTTTATAACAAATTACTATGATGTGCCTTTAGACACATTAAAAACTTAAATAATGGTTATATATAATTAATAAATATTTTTTTATTCAAAGTTACCATAAAAATATGTAGTAATGTTAAATATTGTTACGTTTTTACAATATTTAAAAAACTTTTTAACCACCCCCTTTAAAAAATTGTAACAAAACCTTTTGAATTATTAGTGAGGTTAATTCTTAAGAATTATTGGACTAACATGCTTTGGTTTTTGTTATGTCAGGGGCAACACCAAAGGGTATATTGAAGGGAATGAAGGCTATGGGAGTTTCAGAATTAAACATTTACCACGTCAAAAGCCACTTGCAGGTTTCTTTATATTTCTCTTTTTATTTTGCGGTGAAGATCTTTCCACATTGAAAAAAATAAAAAATGAAAGTATATAGTGACAGTTTATAATTTATGATTATAAATTATAATCAGAATAATTTATAAAAATGAAACCTTATGCTATTAAATACACTCTCTTTCAAAAGCCACTTGCTGGTTCCTCTGTATTTCTCTTTTGATTGTGTGGTGCTGATCTTTCCACATTGAAAAGAAAATGAGAGGAATACAATATGCATAATGCATGTATCATTTCAAGCTCATTTTTCAATTTCTCTGTGAAGTTCAGTAAATGAAAACATGCTACACGCTCACTTATCTTGATATCTGAAAAATTTATAATTGATCATATTAATATTTAAAATATAAAAGTTTTAATTTTATTGCTAAAAATGAAAAATCAACAGAAAATTAAATTGCTGTGTTCAAATCCAAATATAATCTTTTAGAGATTAAATAGTATTTCATTTAAAAAATATTTGAATAGAACACCATTTTAATTTCTGAAAAATATAGAATCAATTAAATTTTCTTTTTCATATTGATATAATTTTAAAAATATTAAATTAATCATTTTTTAATATTTAAAAAAAAACTTTCTGGAATATGATAATTAAGTTTAAATCTTTTATGAATCAACAAGTTTAAGAAAGTGCATAAGTTAACTGACAATAACAATATAAATTACAAGTGTTGACCCATAAATAAATCCTCTAGTCAATAGTGGACCCAATTTTTAAAGTCTCCTTTAATTATGGGTCCACCCTCAAAATACTCATAAAATTCACCCCAAAGGAAAGAGAAACGTTTAAACCTAAACACGGGTTGGTTGTACGATTTATTTTTTATGCATTTAATAAATAATTTTTTAACACGTGTCTAAAAAAATATTAAAAGATTAACAAATAATAATTTTTTATTAAAAATTATATCCTATAACATCATTAATGTATGTATTTTTAATAAATATTTATTATATATAAATTTTTATTGTGTATCTTAAGCCTATATTAAAAAATTAATTTGATAAATATGTAGCTCTCTAAAAAATATACGATGATGTTATTTTCAACAAAAATATTTATTCACACATTATTATTTTGATAGTTACAAGTATCTGCCTACAATTTTTATTTTTTAAGACAAAAATAGTAACAGAGAGTGTTAGAAGTAAATTAAAAAAATTATAAGGTATTTTATTTTATACGTTGTATCGCCTATTTTAAGATTTAATTTGGTAAATATACTCATTTAAATTTATATATATATATATATATATATATATATATATATAATTTTTGTAATTCAAATATTGGATACCAATGTCGAATCTTTTATTATTATAGTATATAGATAGAAAATCAAGTAAATTTGTAAGTGTCATTCCACATTTATTTATCTAGAAGTTATTTAATTTTAAATTTCAATATTTTACATTTCTATAAAGTGAAATAGAATAATAAACCTGAAAAAAAAAATTTAAAAAAAGTTGGGCTCTAATAATTTAATATTGGATGTGTTCAGAAATACAGGATCTCCCAACTGATTCCAGAGTCCTCCACAAGTAAGGTTTTGAATTGAGGTAGTCATGATTCTAATTTATTATTTAGAACTAAATTCATATGACATTATGACTAGTTACATAATCATTTATGAAGGAGGAAAGCTTGAAAAGAGAAGCATATCAGATATACTGCCAAATTTTAGTTCTATATCGTGAGTCAATAAACTTGTATATAATATTTTTTTTTTTTAAATGCTAGTAACACTCTCTAAAACACTTTTTATTATTGATTAAAATTTATTAAAAATTAAAATAAATTGAAAGATAAATATTAATTTAAGAGTGAGATCTGTAAATTTTTATAATTTTTAATAAAGTTTAATTAATAATAAAGAGTGTATTACAAAAAGTGTGTTACTAGCTTTACTTTTAAGTGTTAATTTGCATTCGTTATCATATTAATTTTTTACTAATTCCGTTTCTAAATCAACAGTGCTCTTCAGCTAAAGGAAGTTCTTCAAACGCAGATGGAGGCGCAAAAACGCTTAAGTGATCAAATAGAGGTTTTCCTTTTTTTGGTTTTTCAAGTCTTTCGCAAAAATATTCCTACTAGAACTGAAGTAAGGATCAACCCATCCAATCTTTTTAGCAAACTTTCATATAATATTACTTCAATAACTTATTTATTTTGTTAAATTCTTCTGTCTTGAAATTATTATTCTCATTTATATTTTAAGTAAAAGTATGATATTCGATGTCCAAAATAAAACAGCAACAAAATTATTAAAATTTTTGTACAAAATTTACAATAAACAGAATTTAAGACCTTTCACAAGCTAGTAAATTGTTTAGATAAGCGTTTTTTATATGGATCCTATATTATAAATTTGACCATTAAATTTAATAAGTTAAAAAGAACTTATTTTTATAAATTAGATCTGGATACTTATTAAAATAAACTAGAAAAACTTATAAAAGTTATTTCAAACTAAAAAATTCCATTTTCTTTGAAAAAAAAAACACCAAAAAGTGAGAGAATATCTCTAGTGATTTTTATTTTTTTGTTTTTATTGGTTGGAAGGTTCAAAGAAGCTTGAAGCAAAAAATTGAAGCACAAGGAAAGTATTTGGATAGAATTGGACAAAGTAATCATGGCAAAATAATCATTGGAAAAGCATGCAAGCCTTTGGTTGCTACAATTGCACCTCTGCCTCCTCTCTCTGAGGAATCTGAATCTTTGAAAACACAGCCTGAGGAAGAACATAGATCAGCCAAAAAACAAAGAATCGAAGAGGAGAGTGCTTTTCCAACAAGTTTTGAAGTTGAATCATCCATCACACAAGAATTCTACAACCAAACCTGGAATCTTTCTTGGAGTCAGCTTGCAGCAGCATGCCAATCACCTTTGGTGCCCAATTTCTTATTATAAGGTTTGTGTAATTAGAATAAATGTTTCCCTAATAAAAAGGATGGTGATTATTGTATGATGATGTCGATCTTATTATAATGTTTGCTTGATTTTTGGGGCCTTCAAAACATTTTAATGGGAACATTCATATCTTGGAGGACCTAGAAAGGAACAAAAAGAAATATATGTACTTTGTAATGTGGTGTTGGACGAAAATAAAAGTTTGAGCTTGGCTACAATTATCATGTATATACTTTGATGATGCTTGATAGATTGAAAGGAAATTAATTAACTATATTCTGATTTAGAATATTATTGGTCATGCTTCATATCCATTCATAAGACAACTTTTGGGGGCACATAAGGATAAAATAATCCAGCATGCTACTAAGATGTTGGCTCTAATGGATAATCTCTACGCATTAAGGGTCGTTTCCTTCGTATTCCTCCAATGATTTTGTTCAATTAACACACCAACATTGAGCTCAGTTATCTAATAAAATATTAAAAAATATTAACTTCAATATTTAAGATTTAGTTTAAATAATTAAAAGTAATAAAATTTCATTAAAAAGTATTCATTATTACTCTTTCTATCATCAATATAATAAATATGTTCAATAAAAAATTACAATTGCTAAATATCTAAACTCAGTTTCAAAATATGAAGATACCCTTATCATAATTAACTTGAAAATGGGAATCCTAGTTGGAGCATTTATGGCATGGGAGAGTCGTATACTTGGATTATCTTTTTGGCACGTCATTTTTAATCCATTTGATATACGACGAATGGAGCATTTGGCTAGGGATTTGCAGAGTTGACTCCTTCTCCACTATGTTCTGGAAACCATGAAAAGTAAGAGCACTTGTTAGACAACAAGTAGGTCCAGTCAAAGAACACCTTTGATGTGTTGTGATTGTAGTGGTAAGGTGGCACTATGTACTTAATGGAATAAGGAAAATCGTAGATTTTTTAGTTCTTCAAATAAATCGTAGATGTTTTGGTATTTTAGTTTGTTTTTCAAGGCTTGGTTGTGTAAGTTCTTCCAAGTGGATTGGTCAACCAATGGTTAACATTTTCAAAAGCTAGCATAAAAAAATGGTTATAGTCATGTAAAGGAAAATAAGAAAATACAATCTAACAGGAAGGCCAAGCTGGAGAGAAAGGATATGTCTTCCAGCTCGAATGAATAATGTGTTAGAAAAAAAAACATCATATTTTCTCTTAAAACTTATTTTAGATAAATAAATAAGGTATAATAAATACTAATCATAATATAAAAATTAATATAAAAACTTTAAAATTAGAATAGTCAAAAAGTCCAATTGATACAACCCTATTCCTAACCCATGTACACTAGGGCTAAAAAATTCACTAGTCCAACTTTGTTACTCTTGACATCAATATAATGTGTTTTCAAATAAAACTAAGATCAAATGAAAAATTAAAAAAATTATATTTTAATTTATTTATATATATACTAAATAAAAAATACATCACAATAAGTAAAAGATTATCTATTATATATATTTTTTAATACATAAAGCTTTATTATTGTTAAATAGTAATGATATATATTTTTATATACTATTCTATAAAATATTTTTATAATTCTTAATTTAATTAAAAAAATTCATTTATAATTTGTTCAAAACTCATTAAGCTATGTTTAATAAAAAAATTTTATTTTTGTATGTTATTGTTCCTTACTTATTACTTTTTAGTATGAAAAAATTAATTTATATGTTATTTAGTATTAATGCATGCATGTTAATAAAATGATTATTTTTTATTAATTACTATAATGAAACAACTAATGTTATTGAATTATTTATACTAAAAATACTCAAGTTATTAGCAGCTAGTTAGTAAAAATTATTCTTAAAATAATAATTAATTTATTATAATAATTGAATGGTAATATTTATTTTTAATAATAATTAAAAAATTAATAAAAAAATTATTTTTCTATTTTAAAGTAATAAATAATTTGAAATAAATGTAAAATATTTAAATAACATTTAATATAAAATAAAATGAGTATACTTATTATATATATATATATATCATTTAGATATAAATATATAATTAATTCTTTAAATTGTTAAAATTTAATATTATTATTTTTATCATAAAAATAATATTTTAAGCCTTAATTAGGAGAGTACTACAACGAATGATAAGGAAACGGAAAAAAAAAATTAACAATGATAACATTATTTTTATAGTATAAATGTATATATAAATTTATACACATTTTATAAAGATATTTGTTATTCATTCAAAGTTTACACTATAACTTCTATAATTTATGGTGATTTTTTGAAAGCAATTAACAAGAAAACTAATAAAAGTAAATAAAAAAAACGTGTTTTGGATAAGAACAATTGTACGTACTTTGTTTTTTTTTTTTCATACAAAAAATAAGTAAATGTTTAAAAATATGTTAAAAATTCAATAATTATGACTAAAAAATTCAACTATTAATATTAAAATAAATATAATACCTAAATGTAATTAAGTTATAAAATTTTCATTGTTATTAATTTTTAAATATTTAATAATAATATTTTCTTAAAAAATTAATTTCATATGTTTAAAATTAATATGATGTTAATATTTTTATTAATTAATAATAGCATACTTTTCAATATATTTTGTGTGTTAACAAGTTTTTGTTCGTTGTTCTTTAAGAAGTCGATTGATTATCCATTTGACATCCATAATTTCTTCACACGATCTGATATAAATGCCAAAAAAATTATTAAATGTAAAATTTTATATAATTTAACATTTCTAAATATATAATCCGAAAATAATTATTTTATATTTCAAATAATATATTATGTCAAATAAAATAAAACAATAAAGTATCAATTAATTTTTGAATCATGTGAAATAATGGTTAGATTAATAAAATTTAACATATATAAAAAATATTAAAAAAATAAATTGACAATGATTATTCTTAAATTTCCACCCATCTCTTAATTATTAAATCAGTCTTCTCTTAAGTAATATGATTTTAAAATTTTCCATATTTCACATGTGTTGATTAATACATGTATTTGCTAATTACTCTTAAAAGTTGGGTAGATATTAAAGTAATAACAATTATTTGCAGGCCTATTTACAACGTGATGGAATGAATTAAATATTAGAATGAACTTTGGCAGAGTTGAAACGTGCATGAAAGGAAACGTGTCAACTCAAGCAGATTGAAGCTGTGCCCTTAATTAATTGGGGAAAAGAAATTCATATCGCATAGTGTTATCTTTATTTTCCTTTACCACATTAGACAACAAGCCTTAGTCAGCATTCCACTAGGACAACAGGGAAGAAGGGTATATATATGCTTAAATCAACCCTATCGCATAGCATTATTCAATTGTTTCCTAAATTGACCAACCCAACTCACTTTGAGATACATGAAAACACATGAAAGGAAAATTCTGACACGTGATTCAACCTGTTCTTTTCAACTTCAACTATTGCACCCCAAAATAAAAACATGATAGATTTAATAAACCATCCAATTGGAGACCAAGAAGTCCAATTATTTATATTCGAATAGTGTCATTTTCTATCAACACTAATCGAATCACGTTTGAGAAGCCAAAGATTCAACTTGGGCCTTTCCACAAGGTCCCTTTGTCCTAATGTAAAGTCTGTATTCATCATATGTCATTGGTGAGTACAAGGCTGGCCTATCCTCTGTCACTAGCTCCTTTGCTGGTTCAATTGCTAAATCACTCCTTGGGTTGTAAAAGAAGGCCAAGGAAACACGATCTTGATTTGAGTTCACTATCACCCTGTGCTCTACACTCTTGTATATTGCATTGCTCAGCACCTAAAAGATAAACATGCCATTCAGCTTTCATTAATCAGTTGCCAATTGTTCAAATCTGAAAATGGAGTTTTCATGCATTGAAAAATTATTATTATTATTATGTATTTTTATCTATAAAACCAATGTGGTTAAAGTAAACAGTGGTGATATAACAATTTGCCTAGTTAAAAGCTTTGAATATTATAGAGTGAGTGAGGACCTGAATTTGGTCCCCAATGTTGATGATGAAAGCATTTGGGACAGGCTTAACTGTGATCCAATCATCTCCTCTACGAACTTGAAGACCAGATACAAAATCATCAGGGAGAAGAATGGTCATGCCACCAGGGTCTGAGTGAGGGGAGAGACCAAAAGTGAGATCAGGTTGTGGGCACTTTGGATAGAAATTCACCCTTAGGCAAGCACCAATTTCACTCTCTCCCCCAAATGCATTAAGGAGAAATTCTTCTTTCAACCCAAGATTTATTGACATCAACTTCAGTATTCTTCCTCCTAGCTTAACCACCCCCTCTCCATATTCAGCAATCACTTTCCTATTATCACAAATCAACAATTAGAGAAACAAAAAAGTACAACTTTGCTAAGGATTTGTTTTCATTCTTTTTCTTCATCTCGGATAGTGACAACATTGTACCATCAATATAAAGTGCTCCTAGGCTAAGGTCCTACATAAATTTATATCAAACAGAGACATCAATTCAATTACCCAAATATGTTTCCTAATGACACTCCATTTTCATGCATAGAAGCAATTAGGTCCCAGTTAGAATTAAAATATACTATGCAGCTCGTGAGTAAAATTTACTGACATCTCTGTATGGACAATGAAAAGATAACATAATTGAATATGGCACCATTCTTTTACTAGTAAACTATATTTTATTTTCTCAACGCCAATTTCATTGTTTGTTGGTATATGGGCATGAAAGACGCGAATGATGCGAGATTTTAAGCGTTTTGTCATATGAAAATGTGGAGTTATTCTAAGATGGAACAATTCGACCGAAATGGCAGCTAATAGGAGTTTTGGTCCATCCAATTTCACAAAGCACTCGTGAATCTTTAATGTCTTTAACGTGGATCTCTCTTTCCTATAACATATTCTCCACACACTGGCCACTAACACGTTTTTTCTTCAATTTTATTCCCCTTTATCCTAAATCTTTCTTTTTTTTATTCTCAATATCTTTTTATAATTGTTAAAACCTGGCCTCTGCACAGACCTCCACATGTTTTACATGCAGTGTGTTGAGTGTACGTGTTTTCTCTTGAAAAAAAGTGTTCAATGAAGCTGCAGCACCCACTGCTTCTGGTAGTTACAAGTCTCTGAACTTGTCAAAAAGCTTTCCTTGTTTTTCCATATCAAAAAGCTTTTGGTTTCATATTTAAATAGCAAAACATTATTATCGCACTTAATACTATAATAATTATTTAACAACATACTTTGAATTTTAAAAAATTTTTTTTTTACTTTTTTGAATTTGTGTCAGAAAACATCTTTCAAAAACTTTACATCAAATTAATAAATTGATTATTTCAATTCATGTGTAACACGGCTTTGCCCGGCACAATTGACAGGTCCAAAATTCTCAATCCCACTTTTTATTCATACCTACAACCCCCAACCCCTTTTATGACCTTAATATAATGAAAAGAGCTTCACTTTAATTAGTTGGTTACCCTATCATTCAGCAACAAATATTAAGTAAATATAAGTATCCACGTCCGCATCTTAACAAACAAGACAAAATAAGAAAACACGGTTTAGAAGCGAAGAATAAAAACATGAGAAAAGAAATATCCACATCCTTATTAACTTTGACTCGGTTAATAGTGATGAGTTTAGATAATTAACTGAATAATTTTAAGTATATGATCTAGTATCTCTTTAAAAAACGTAGTAAAAGTACGTTTTAAAGATAAATGCTTCTTTGACATTAACCTTAAGAGTTTTCAACTTTCACTGCGGGTTGAAATCAACAGAGATCATTGTATTTATTATTAATTCCATTTGTCATTTGTCGTGCATGTGTTTCTAATATAAAGTTTAAAATAAATGTTAATAAAAATAATATAATTTAGATCATTATATTTATTTTTTATTTTACATCCCATCACTTATTGTATTTATTATTATTTTTATTTATCTTTTAAATCCCTAAATACATAGGCTGCTGTTAAATTATCATTCTTCTAAAGAGTAATATTATTTCTACTGTAATTTTACACAATATTTTTTTATCACTCTCTGTCACATTATCTATTTTATCTCATGCTTTCTTTTCTTATACTCCTATCTCTTTCATTATTGAGAATATTATTGTGAGAAATTTACCTAGAAACAGTATTACTCTTTTCAAAATAGAAAGCTACCAAATAAATAAAGTATTTAGATTATCAAAGAGGGATATTAATTAGAGGTATGGTATGCATATACCTTATAGATGGCGGAAGAGAAGGCCACTTATCTTGGTTCCTAAGTGAGGGAGGCATGTAATGAAGAAAGAAGTAGTCACTCCAATCCAAAGTGGCTCCCTTATTCACACCCAAGCGACTTCCATAACCCTCATAAGTGGTAGGAGAGTTTGCATACTCCTCTTTCACCTCAAGTGGCTGGTTAAAGAACTCACGCCAGAGTTCTTTAACACTCTTCATCAACTCATGGCTTACACCATGGTTCACCACTTGAAAGAACCCCCACTTCCGGCACGCTTCCGCGACGTGCCGGAGCACCTCATCCCGGAGGACTTGATCCTCTCCGGAAAGGTGTTTAAGGTCAATGACAGGGATGTTAACATGATCATGGTCATGTTCAATTTGAGAAGCTTGGTAAGAAGCAAAATTAGTGGTTTTGGAGGGTCTTTGGGAGTGTGGCCTAATGTAGCGTGCTGGGATTGAAGTTAGGCCACTTTCAGCTAAGGATTGGACTCGAACAACTGGTTCTGGCCATGCTTGGCAACTCATCATTTTTTCTTTTTATTTATTTTTAGTGTTGAACTTTTGGGTTGTAGAGAGAACTAGAGAAGCACAAAGGCAAAGAGGGATTGGAGGGAATTATAGCTAGTGGGTTTAAGAGTGTTTGTAGCTTGCTGCAGTGTGATTGAGAGCAACTAAGAGAAGGCTATATATAGATAACATGAGATGCCATAATTTCGGCGCCGTGATGAAATTGAATTGCTTATTGTTGTGGCCATAATATTCTATACGTCCATTAAAGAAAAATATTATATATTTATTTTATCTTTGATATAATTCGTATATTTTATGTGATTAACATATGGTACACATGTGAGATCGGGATTAGAATATAACATATTGTAGCATTCACTGTAATACTTCTTAAAATGGGACAAAACATGTAAATTATGTTAATTATTGCTACACCTTATGATATCACAGAACTGCATTTTGATTCTGTAAAAGGTGAAATAGAGGAACAACAAAGCAGATCAAAAATTATTCCGTTCTGTTTGTGTGCAATTGCCACCAAAAATATCGTTATGTAATAATCTTAAGGACACCATAGTTCTTGATTACAGATATTGATCACAATGTTATTTTTCGTTTTTCAAGTTATGTTCGATAATTAGAGTTAGGATCCCTCGTTAAATTTACTTATTTACACAATTTAATAATTTTTTATAAAATGTGAGATTAATTTGAAAGTTTTTATTAAATAAATTAACTTTATAAAAAATAAAAATTAAAACTATTACATACTTTATTATCTTATTTTATTTTAATAGATAATATATATTAAAAATATAAATAAATATTAAATTTTAAATAATATACTTACAAATGTCTAAATTGCATAAAATATGATATGTATCATTAGAAAAATAATGTAAAATAATTTAATAGTTGAATTAATCAATTTTATGTTTTATAAAAAATTCTCAAATAAAATTAAAATTAAAATTTAACATTTAGTATTAACGATGTGACTTTAATAAGAAATACTATTCGAATTTAGTGGTTTCTTTTGGGAAACTAACACTAACCAAATAATATATTATTGTAGTATAAAACACATTTTTTATATAAGGAAATTTTAATTTTAACTTTTAAGATTTGATTTAAGCAACTAATAATGTAAAATTTATTTTTTAAAAAACAATTTATTATATTTCTATAATTTTTAATATAATCAATGTGTTTTTTAACAATTTTTTTTTTTTACATGCTTAAAATCAACTCTTAGAGGTTAGCAAAAGTTTTTTATATAACACATACTTTTTGGTCCCTTTTATAAAAATAACTAATATTATATTTTTTTCCTAATTATAAAATATAAAAATGCATTTTCATCTATAATAATTGCTAATTTTTTATGTTGTTATTATTGTAAAATTTATGTTGATAAAACACTCAGTCGTTACTAATATAAGTGGATATATTTGTCTAATTTAATATGTAAATCATTAATTAAATTATTTAGTAATATAGATATTCTTAGAATATGCTATAAATTTATGACATATAACTAAATTAAGTTGGCGTTGATAATTTAGTTATTTCTTTTTTATAAAAATGACCAAAGAAAGGATTATACCAACAATGTACTCTATATAATATTACTTTCAATATTATTTATGATAAATAATTACTAATTTTTTATTTTAATTACAAGAAATAAATATATATTTTTGAATGCATTAATTATTAATTTTATATACCCTTATTCATTGTAAAATAATATGTAAGACATCAATTTAACTATTTAACTATATAATATTTGTGATAAAATTACAACATATAACTAGGTTTATTAATTTTAACAAATAAAATATTTCCCAAAGTTTGAAAGACTCTAATAACGCAAAGCTATTATTAAATTGGGTAGATATGAAGAAGAATCACGTGAGTATATTAAGGCAGACAAAATTTACTAATAATTTTTATAACTTAAGAAAATTCCAGTTATGAATGAGAAGATATTTTAGTGTACCCCAAAGAAATATCAATATCAAAGCAGAAAAAAGGGCATACAGCTACTTCGTCTGGTTTTGTTGGACAAGAAAATGGACCAAATTGTATAATTTGCGCCTAAGTGTGACTCACTCTTCTCCGGCATCGACATCGTTTTGTCACCCTTTTCAAATATTTTTAAATTTTCTTTTTCTTTTTTAATTCACTACTCCTTTTATTTCTTTTTATTTTTCTACCTTTAGAAATTATTTTTTAGTTATCTGCTTACTTAGGATTCAAAATAATGTATTGATCAATTATGTTTAATACTAGCTTTAAATGTTATTTTAAGAATTAAAAAATAAAATTTCTTAAACAATTACATCATAAGTATAAAAGTATAACAAATATTTTTTATTAATAAATTTCTTAAAATCAATCCTTGACTGATGTTAAAATTTTTCTATAATTATTATATTTTTTATTATATCCTTATGTTTATTTAATTTTTAAATACATTACACATTTATCATAAATGAAAAAAAAAGTAATACTGGATTTCCTGTTAAAAAGAAATAAATTTTAATATAAATGAAAATATTAATTACATCTTTTTATTTGTATCTTATTATCGCAAGTAGATAGATAAAAGAAACACTGTTGGGTGTCATTGATTATTTTCTTCTCGCTTCTTTCTTTGAATGCTCTTTTTAGTTACAGTTTTTAATTTATCTTTGATTAAAATGAATTTACTTTTAAGGAAGATAAATTATGTTATTATTATTTGTGTTTGACTAATTATTAGTTGTTGAGCCAAATCATTGAAAGAGAGAAAAAAAATCTGAAACCATGTTAGTGCAAATTGTTATTGGGCCAAGTGGGTAGTAAAATTTTTCGTATTTGTTATTTCATCACATGCAGTAATTACGAAGGCATCATTAATTCAACCTGAACAAGGCTTTAGCCCAAATTGGAACAGTCCCCGTGTGATTCATTTGTCGACGTCTTTCTTATCTCTATGTAAAAACGAGTTTCATTATTTAGACATTGAAAATATTAATATCATATATAATTATTTTTATATTTTTTTAATGTTTTATACATACGTGCACAGCTTCCACTTGAAGGTGTTATACGAATTCCTACTACTATAATTGATAAGGACTTAGCTTAAAATTTGTTTCTATTGTAAGGTATACTAAAGATATGAATAATGAAAATGACTTTAAAAGTCGACATAGCATTATCTCTTGTGGGTTTAAGTCGACAAAGGTACTAGTCTATTTCTTAATATGGTTCACTGGTAGATTTCGTCCACGTGCTCCTCATATTTGAGCTGCCCCATCAATAAAAATAAGTATTTTAGACATAATAATAATAAACGAAGTTTGAACATACCAGATGAAAAGAATGCTCAACACTTTGAACTCGCTTATCCAGTAAGGGCACTGAGTGGTTTATTAGATACTGTAAATCATGTTAGATAGGCATTTTGAGCCCCTTTACTTGAAGTTACTTCGAATATTTGTCTCATACTCTAAACAATAGGCTACGTAATTCTGAATCAAGTAATTTAAATGGTAAACATAAATATATTTATATGTATAGATAGGTGCAAACATGACAATTGAGTCATTTTTTTAAGAAAAATAAATTTATTTAAGCGAATCTTACAAACAATAAAAGATGGTCTTGGAAAACAAAGTAGGGTAAAGGAGCATAAGATAACAGCAGTTCCATATATGAGAAAAGGGAACAGCGAACAGAAGAAACAAGTAAAAGGATTGAATGTTGAATGCTAACATTAATGACTAAAGAAGATTGAGGGTTGTAATGTAGGACAATTTCTGTATTGCCTTTTGGTTAACATGGTAGCCTAGTTTGGATGAAAGGATATGCTTAAAAGCAATCCGAGTTCACAGATGTTATTGCTTAACTCGCTTATCTGAATATACTTTTCTTTTAAGTTAATTTTACCAACATTTCTTTGTTATTTTGTTAAATTTGCTTAAGCAAATCAATTTTTGTTTACATAAAAATTAACTGAATTATTATGTTTGAGAGATATTAAACCTATATATAGTAAGACTATTAGACAAGAAAGTCAGCTTCAGATTAATGTGGATCTGGGAATTATGATTTAATCATTGTAATAATGACTTGGAAGGGTCTTCCTGTTTAGTCCAATCCTAAACAATATTAAAAAATAGTGTATATATATAGATAGATAACATTATCTTTGATACCACTAATAAATTTTATTTTATTTTAGATTTCTCCAAGTTAATGAGTAGATAACTCAAAATAAATATAAAAGGGGAGTTAAAAAATTTCCTGAAAGTCAAGCAAGATAAAAAAATATTACTTTTATTTATCAATAGAAGTGTAATAAAGTACTCAAGATGTATAAGATGGATTATTTTAAGGGTATGAACAGGCCAAGGCATCATCAATCATTTTAATTAAAGATGAATTTTTTTAAGTTAACATATGAGATAATTTATACAGGTACGATTACTTCATTATTAAACAATTTTTCAACGAGATGTTTTTAAAGATAGTTCTTAAAAAGACTTTTATAAAACCATTGTCTAACAAATCAAACAATTGATTGTAACTACATAGTTTTTTTATTAAAAAAAAAACTAAATTTACTTTTTCAATCCCTTATAACAAGATTTTATCTCTTAAAAAAAATATTCAAAGCCCCCATTTGTACTTCATATTTACCTTTTCACAAGTGTCATTGAAACAAGGGAATACATGTTTTAAAATTGACATCATTAGATGTTTTTTATTTTTAACTCATTTTATTTAAGAATGTTTATATATAATTTGGATAAATTATTTCATTAAAAAAATTTAATGACAAGATCTTCTCTTGAGCATTTAAATATAATATTTTTGAAATAGATAAACATACTTAATTCATTTACCTAGTTAACTAATATAAAATGTGTTGAGATAATCTAACATATTTACTTATTAAGCTTTTGACAAGAGTAGTTTACTTTTACATTTTGCTTACTTAAAAACTGTACAAAAAAATTAAGTTGACATAATATTTTTTAAAAATAAAACAATACTCATTATTTTATTTTATTTTTTGTGTTGCACTATATTTATATTGTTCATCCTAACTTATACTTTATCCAATTTGAGCGTCCTTCCATTGACATCATTAA